ATTAAGTATGAAGACAGACATAAAGATAGAAAGAGACGAGATAGAGGAAAGTAACGTTAAAAATAATGCCTTTGAGTAAGGTCGTCATGACTTTTTACGCAGACGTTTCCTGAAAACTTGACGTCCCTACAGGATATTACTATGAGAAGTGACAATATGATACATTTATTCATACCTGTGTATGTGTATCTGTGTGTGTATACACATGTGTATTGTGTCTTGTAGAAGCAGACAAATTCACAAGAAAAACATGACTTCATATCGTATTCAAGGATTATATAAGGACCTATAAGATATTGACGACTTGGCCATACCTCAGTGATGCCCCCCTCCCCTTCTCATTTTGTACATAGGTGTAAACTGCTTAGACTAATGAAGTACACGTTGCCATGTACTACCGTGTTAGCCCTGCCTACCTACCCTGGGTGCCAAACTACTAGTAGTATCGGGCCGTTATTTATTATTATTATTAGCCGTTTTCCTTCGGCAGCCAAGAGCCCCTCGTCTGCCTATCTAAATTACCGCCAGGGAGGAGTTGAGCCCCGAAAAATTTGTCCGGGCGGTAATATTCATATAGGCGGGCGAGGGGCTTTTGGCTGCCGAAGGAAAACGGCTAAGGACCCGATACTAGTTTGGCACCCAGGGTATGCCTTCCTCACACGGACTTGAGAAGCTTGTGCAGCAATACAAAAACAAACGATGATATCTTGCGTACGACGTGCAATGTTCTTGCGCCAAACCGTAGTAGAAATTTTGAAATCTCATGGGTTATCCAAAATATACGATACCAGATTCTATCGCTCACCTGGTTGCTTACGTGATTTGTTTTTACACACTAGCAGTAGGTCATGGATAACTTTCCTCGTTGCTGTTTTGTTCGTCTGTCCGGGAAAACCTCGTACGCTAGTGTGAAGGGTGGCGGGTCCATGTGAGGGGCGCAGGGACGAGAAGTGTTCAGTGGTTCGGTAGGCGTGCACATTGCGTAGCCTCCACCAGGCCTTTCTACGGGAATACGGATAGTAGAATTCGGCAAAAAAGAGAGTAAAATTGGCCAAGGGAGTCCGGCCGCGTGGGGGTAGTTTCTTTTAACTGAGCGGCCTGTCAAACTTACAAGGCGGCAATACTCCCCTGGCAATTCTATATATAGCCAGCGTAGTTAGTCTGGTAGAGACTACACATTGCGTGTCCCAGACTGGCATTAAAAAATAATTTCGCGATATAAAAAAAAAATTCATTTGTTTCATTCGTTTCTTCTTTTGCACCGAATCATGCGATCATGTAAGGAACTTGCACTTGCTATTCTGTACAAAATTGTACGTGAATAAGAGTGATTCAGAAATGTAAAGGTCCATATAAACTTCATGGCATGTCCGCTCTACCATGACTACAGCACTAGGCTGTTTGCCAGGCTTCAAGTTCAAGAGCATTGTTACGCTAAGCCTAGCCTCCACTGAGGCCTTTCTACGGGAATACGGATCGTTAAAATCGGCAAAAAGCAGACTAAAATTGGCCAAGGGAGTCCGGCCGCGGAAGGTTGTTTCTTTCCCCCCGAAATGCGCGGCCGGTCAAACCCCAAGGCGGCCAAACTCCCCTGGCAAATATTCTCCTGTATGACGACTATATATATAGCCAGCGTAGTTAGTCTGGTAGAGACTAAGCCTACCGTTTTACATTATACACATCAGACTTACACGTACTTTTTAGCATCAGCTATTATACGGGTTTTACGAGTAATGAGGTCTAATGTAATTAATCCACGTGAAGGGGCATACGTTCATCGCACCAGCTCGAGATCTCGTAACTCCGTGTGAGGGGTGTACGGTAGGGGAGCGCCTTACGGACCCAGCATGGGAACGGAGCGGCCGGTGTTATTCTAGCTGTTCACTTTGGATTAATTGAAAGGCGCCCACAGATGGTAAGAAATCCAGCTTTACGAGCCTCGAACATGTGTCTCTTGTTTGAGAACTTTCCTAGTGGTCATCTTCTATGTTTTTTTTTCGCTGATATCGTTTATGACTTTTTGGAATGCATGAACGATCAAGAGAACTTGTGAGGCGGCAAAAGCATAAATGATATACGGAGGAATCAATTTAAGGTAGTAGCATTTTGACAAAAAAATAACTCTACAGAAAGTAACGATAGCCTTTACCAGGCTTCGGAAAGCGGTTGGAAAGAGTAGATACAAGACAAGCATTGGCCAAATAGACAGATAACATGCCAGGGGAGTTGGTCCGCTAATTCTAAAGGTGTAAAGGCGGCAAACCAACTCCAATCCTCTGGCATGTTATCTGTCTATTTGGCCTACTCTTTCCAGCCGCCTCTGAAGCCTGGTAGAGACTAGCTCACCTACTCAGTCCAACATTAGTTCAATCATTTTGTCTTATTGTTTCAGCGCACACGGTAACAGTACTATAGCCTGGGTGCCAGACCCATAGCAAAGTATCTCAGTGAGCACCATGCACTGAGATACTTTGTGTCCAGTGTATTGGGTCTGGCATCCAGGCTAACACTACCAGGGACTCGGAACACACAGTTCACAACTTCACACACACAACACAAAGAAAGGATCACACAATATAATCCGGTAATACGGACATGGATTTCTGTTCTTCCCTTTGTCTTGTAGAACAAGCTCAAATACACCACTGTTTACACTTTTCTCCGTATCACATGACGTGAATATTCATATTTTCTGTTTACCCGGAAACGATACGTGTGGGTTCTTCTCGGATCATTCTGTAGAAAAATACACAGAAAAATCACCATAAACGGATTTTTGTAAAGGATCAAGCCATGAACTTGTTTTTGCAACAGGCTGGGACGTTTACGTAACTGTGGATTTCTCCACACATAAGTTCATAGCAGTTTTACGAATGCACGAACGAAAAACTAAACCCTAATTTCTTCAAAATCATATGAGGGGATGCTACAGTAATAATTGTCTTCGTGAATGTGTAATACGTTGTATCTCAATGAAGATATGAAGGGTTTATATTAAACTTTAAAGGTTTGGGAAGATATGTGCTAGTGTATAGCTGGTTGTTACTGTTGCAAAATCACATGAATTTATTTGGTGATTATTATATTACAGCAAGAACGTTCTATCACTTATAGAACGTTCTTTATTACAATATAAAGGCCTCCGACACACTTCCCTACTCTCCGAGCAGAGGCTTTGGCTGATATTTTGGCGTTTTAGGACTTTTTACCGGGCTTTTATTTTTGTACCGGTATCTTTTTTTGTGTTGGGCTAGCACAAAATAGATACCAGTACAAAAAGCGCCAAAATAAATCCCAAACGTCTGCTTGGAGAGTAATCCCTATCTAGCCCTATGCGCGTGGTTTTATCAGTCCGAGTGCGATGTGAGTGCGCCCTGTTCATTATCGATGTGCGGTGGAATTTCTCATCCAAGTGCGTTCCCACCCTCTTGTCGGGTTCGGTGGCGATTCTCCACGTGTTCCCGCTGAGGGACCGGCCGTCAGGGGAAACGTCTGGTTTTCATGCAAAATTTCTTCTCGCCCCCCCATTTCACATCATTACCACAACATTAGCGGTGATCTTATGGGGTGCTTGGCAAATCGCATGCCCCCTTTTCGTACGCCTACCTCTGGTAACGTTGCACATTGTACAACGGAGAACGAAAATACAAAAATCTGAAAAGTAACATAAAAGTAACATAACATAAACATAACATAAAAGTCTTGGAGGGGCATTGGAGCATGTGCTGATTTTTCAAAGATTCGTTTTTTCTGAAAAAGAAAACATGTATACCACTAGATGTTTTCAAAGTCAGTGTTTTAATATGGCTTCTTTGTATAAAAATCTCTTGTGTTGTAATATACAAAGTCGTTTGTTTGGCCAGCTATCTCAGAAACACATGTGTAGGTGTTTAGTATCTAGTGTGTTTACAATTTGACATGATCTGTTTCTTTGTTTTCTTAGATAGATAAACCCCAAGTAGAAATAACAAAGCTGCTTCATAGTGGGCCATTGGATTGTCTACCATAAAAACAGAGATCAACTTTAATTTGTGGCATTTTTTGTGAGACACTACAACTTACGTAGGGTGGAAAATAGCGTTGGTATTAACTATACACTTAGTAACTTAGTATTTGATCGTACACTGTACTCCCAAAGGAAGGTTCCATGTGTGCAGGACTGTTTCTCTTGTTGTTTTTGTTTTTCTTTCGTGTTCCATATTTTGATTATTGTAGCTGTGTCAATTTTTCCTAGCCGTAGGTGTGAGTGATTGGGAGTGAGCAGAAGTCGCACTAGTCTGTCAGCCCAGTTCGCACTCTCACACGAGAATGGTGCATACGTGCTAAAACATCCCAAATTTAATTGTCGTGCAACAGGACGACGTCACGTCCATCTGATGAGGGACAGTGGGAGGAGGGGGGTGCCTCCTCTAGAGCCCCTTGAGCATAAACCCCAGGAATACGAAATTCGTCCCAGATGGAATAACAAACTTCCCAGATGGTTCGAATCCCGGCCACAACTCTGATGATAGGAAATCGGCCCATCTGGAAACGCGACACCAAACCTGGACTTTTTCCCACGGTGAAGTTCAACTCGAACTTTCTTCAAAAGAAAAATCGGGAGTCCATAAAAGTGAAAAAATGGGAGGTTCATTTTATTCTTCTCCTGAAATGTATGCAGCCCCTTTCCATTCAAGCCTGTGCGGCTATCCCAACTTAGCACAATGGGGCTAATGACGATTCGGTGCCAAAACTAAAGCACGGATGACACCCTACACTACAGGGTGCCTTTGTGGAGTTAATGGGATTTCTGAGCGAAAACAAAACACTGAGAATCGTCAACTTCCTGCGAAGAGGCAGATCAGTGAAAATGTATGCATGGGCGAGGGGAGGGCCGCCCGTGGCTAGCTCGGGTACAAATAGCCTGACCAGAGCTGAGGGAGTATCACTTTTCCTCTAGCCGTCTCTTCGAGCTGTTCAGTCTCCGCGGAGCTCATCCAACTCACCTCTGTACTCTACAGGAACGTCTGTACTTCGCTAGTGACTATGGAAACTGCCGGGTTCTCGTACTACAACACCGCCGCTCTGTGCTCGGCACAGCACTGTAACTGCCACAAGCAGACGACAAAGGCTTCGGGAATGTAAGTAGACATTTCTTGGTATATCTCTTCTCATTTTTTTTTCGTGCTTCCGCCTTGTCGTGCAAGAGCTTCCTAGTATCGCTGGTCATCGATGTGTTTTGGTCGCTATGATATGTCCAAACCCAGACCTGTGGATTGGGATTTTGCCACTGTAAAAAAAACACAAAAACCATGCATGTAACTGTTCTTAGTGTCAGTGTCAAGAATAACGCCATAACAGCTCGTACAATCTTTCTTTCTTGTATGAAAAGACTGTAACTTAAGTCTTGGAGTTTTCGTTGCGGTATAACGGTTCATAAATGGTGGCTCAACAGTCGAGATTTTGGCTCAAAAGTCTTGAAGTGTGATGACATTATTGTCAGGGGTTTGAGCGGCGTTTGACGTGATTTTAATCGTATGTTTCTTCTCCCTCCCGACCCCAGGCCCGCCCAGCCCCCAGTCTGGCGTCCGTGGATCGTGACAGAACGCGACATCCTCAGGCGTAACGCCATCAGGGAGCGACGAAGCAAGGTAGGCACAATTTCTATCTGTTATTTCCAGTCATCGTTCTCCAAAAAAATTGCCCATTCGTTATACGCTATAATTTTCCCTATCTACTCCCGATTTTGCACTGGAACGGCCATCTTTATCTTTGAATTACGCGAAAGTTTAGAAAACTAAAGTTTCTTCAAAATGATCGTACGCAAGACGGAAATACATTCGATGTTTTGGCGCTATCCTAAACTGTTGATCAAAGTCGGCAAAGAGCCGTTGGAGTGAAAACTGAAGTACGCCGCCACACTTTGATACACTCGGCGAAGGCACGACCCGTGGGCCGATTTGTCGCCTGGACTCACTCAAATCTCCATTTAGGGCTTCAAATAAACACTTTTATGACGAGTTCAAAAGGCGAGCCGAAAACGTTTTATGATCTCGGGCGCTCCTCTTCAAAAGCGGGTTGGAGTAAACTCTCGTGCCGGGAGCCGGTCAGACGGCTTCCGGAGACTGAACGGACGTAGACGGCATCCAACGTGTGTTTCTTCCTTCCTCCCAAATTTTCAAGGCATGCTTTTGTGTGTGTGTAGAACCGACCTTGCAAGCTGGCCCACCTCTCCTAAAAGCTTGAAACATAGAGCGAGCATGTCAAAATCACATGTACTTTACTTTCACGGGATAGGCGCATATTCATGAACTGTTACCAAGGCGAAAACACATGACGCCATTTTCTACCAATAACAACACTCGTGAAGTAAGCAAAAATCTTAACAAAAATCTCTTCTTCAAGTTCATTTCGCTTATCGTTCAGGACATTTTGTACAAAACATAAGTGTAGCTTGTGTGGTCTTTGAGACAGAAATCGTATGGACTTAATTAGCAGACGTGCGACAAAAAATGACAGGCGAAAGATTAGAACCAAATCCCTTCAACCTCAATAGCCTTAGGAGTGGGTCTTATCCGAAAGTTTTTAACAAGTTCACACCTCCGGTCTAAGCCTCCAGTGTCCTCTAATTAATAAGTATGGCTTCATTTTCTCCAAAACAATCGGGCCTAATCTTACTAATTGGCAGCCATTCTTTGATACTACAAAGAAAGTGTCAGACGTGGCCAAATACTTCGGACTACTCGTATTGCAGTGTTCATAATGTGTATTGCGTAGTTTCTGAGATCTACGTTGGTTTACACATGATTTTGCCGTCGCAATGTGTATTTTTGCTGCATGTAATTCACGTATACTTCAGCACAGATTCACATGTTCTCAAACAAACATGAATTTTAACGATTCCGGGTCAAACTTGAAAAGCCGGTGCGAATTTTGTTCTTCGCCTTGGCCTAACAAAAGTAGCGTCTTGGTGGTTAAAACAAAAACGCTCGTAGCAGCACCTTGCTCCAAGCGTAACACACAACCAGCTTTCCAGTGCAGTTTCGGGTACATGTGGTGATTATGTGATGTGTGTGTTGTTTTCTGTAACATTGTATTTATCATGTTTCTTATTCTATTTTCCCCACAGCCTTACGCTCGTCCTTCATCCACCAACAACGGCTCTGACACACGCGGTCCCGAGCCTGGTCTACCGTCCTTCCAGCACCCTGTCAAGTAAGTTTTCAGCTCAGTATTCTTTCTCTAGCTAACAATACTCTCCAAGCAGAGGTGTGGGCTTTGGCTTATTTTTGGCCTGTTTTTTAATCAACTAGTCTTCAATACAAAAAAGAAAGCCTATTAAAAAGCCTAAAACACGCCGAAAATATGGCAAAGCCCAATCCTCTGCTTGGATAATATCAAAACAACCGAAGACTGGGCTGCCAGTCTATAGAAATATCATGTCTTTACCCCAACTGGACACATATACGAGTACAACAATGGCAATGTATTGTGTATACACAGTAAATTTTAAATTGTAATTACTTTTTTAAAATGCTTAAAATCGTAAATGTTGTTACACGTTACTTATACAATTTTTTGGCCTCCCCTCTCCAAATAGTGTTAAGAATGCTAAGACTCATATAATGTTGTTACGCGTTACTTATCAATTTTTTTCCTTCCCTCTCCAGGCTCCACTGGTCTAAGCCCGTGTACGACTACATGTACCAGTACGGCCGGCAGCTCCTGGACGCCTTCCCCGTTCAGGCCACCATCTGTATCGTAGACCAGGACCCCGCCGAGAGCGACGACAGCGACTTCGAGTCAGACTACGAAGACGACTCCGACACCGGCGACAAGCCGCTCAAGAGGAACGCACCGACCCTGAACTAGAGACGTTTGGTCAAGCAGAGAAATATGAACACTTCTATGTATAAGTCTACATCAAGCTGTTTGGTGTTAGCTTTGTTCCAACTGTTGTGAATTGTATGTTCTGTGAGCACAGACGATGGTCCAGTCTCAGTGTCATACTATCACACTGTCGTAAAGTCTTACCAAATGTTTATATGACTGTAAATATTGTAAATATTTGTATATATATCACAGATTATGAAAGAGCTCTATTTTTATACTTGAGAGATGAATTTTAATGATATTGTTGTGTATTTATACCCTCGTTGTTTTCCTTTTTGTTTCCGCACAAGTTCAGTATTGTTTTGTTATTCCGCAAAGTGTTATATATCGTATACACGGTATTTATTCCTACTACGTGCAGACAAGTTATAAGAATAAAGTTGTCTGAAAGGAATTGAACAGGAGTTTGTGGTCTTAGCAAGTGTGTGTGTGTGTGTGTGTGTGTGTGTGTGTACGCGGTGGGGGGGGGGGCTTTAGAGGCGACAAAAAGAGCACAAATTGGCCACATAGACGTATATTTTGGCATGTCAGGTGAGTTAGTCCGCTAAAGGAGCAAAGTTTGTCGCTTCAGTGTGGCAAACTGTACACTGAAGTGGCTGACTGTAGTCCTTTAGCGGACCAACTCCCCTAGCATGTTTGTTATCTGTCTATTTGGCAGATCTCTACTATCAGTGTGTCAGCAGTTTCTGAAGCCTGATAGAGGCTACTATACTGGGACAAGCATGTAAGCTGTCGTGTTGTACGTATACTCTCTCAGGCCAGGGCTAGCCTCTACTAGGGGTTCGTGGGGTGGCCGGAAAGAGTTTTTTTTGCGGCAAACTGTGTTCTCTAGTGGACCAACGCCCCTGGCATGTTATCTTTCTATTTGGCCAATTTCTACCCTTTCCAGTCGCCTCCCAAAGCCTGGCAGACTAAATTTAGGACAATGACGCAAGGAAAGGGACGAGACGCAATAAAAGTCAGAACCAGGCGGATCAGAACATTGCAAGGGGAAGGCCAGGGTGTCGTGCAATGTGTCCGGGCTGGCACGTCCGTTCGCTGGCGGGTGCCTGCTCTCTAGGTGTTCTCATTCACGCCAACGTGCAGACATCGGGCTCCTATCCGGCAGACGGTCCGCCCTTGTCTGTCACTCCCAACGCGTTTGCCTACTCTCCAAGCAGAGGTTTAGGTACTCTCCAAGCAGAGGTTGTGGGGGAATGATCGTTACCTTTTTATATATGGCCGTTTTTTTTTTGTCCTGACCCCCACCACCCGTCGGTGGCCGCGGACCTTCTCTGGCTAATGGATATTGCCTGGCCAATTTGATACTGTCTTTTTGTCACCGATAGGAGGGTCTGCATGCTCTTTTCCGTAAGGCGTAGGCGGCCTCTTTATAATTTCCCGTAATTCGTAGGGAAGTCATTTTATTTACCGTTATTCGTAGTGAGGAGGCGAAAATTTAGCGTAAAACGTTGCCAGCCTTCCTAAAATTTAACGTAAAGCGTTGCGGGCCTCCATAAATTTAGCGTAAAGCGTAATCAGGACCCCCCCATGCAGACCCTCCGATAGGGATCTGCTTGGAGGTTTAGGTATTTCGGCTAATTTTTGACACGTTTTAGGCGTTTGAATAGGGGGTTCTTTTTTGTACAGGCTTTTTTTTTTTACGGAAGCTCTTTCTCTTGCAAATGATAGCTTGCTGGCAAATGGTAATGTCTTTACAGCCCCCGAAAAGTCGGCTTGGAGACTAGTTTGAGGCAAGGCGTTCGCCCAGTACAGTCTGACAATTTTAGAAAGAATTTCATCAAATAAAGACGCAATTTTAAAAACTTTTTCATCAACGATCAAGTAAAAACATTTTCATCAATTTAAGTTTCAATTCAAGTAAATACTTGACGCAATTAGTTACTTTTTTCTCCAAAGGCGTACGTGCCATCTCAAGTGAGTTGATCATCGTCATTGTTAACAACATTGGGAAATGACCCAAAATTGTCCTTTTGTCAAAACGCAAAGAACAGGGCTGATAGGTCCTGGTCGCCATCGTTTGGTACCGTCTTGTCGGCGTACTAAAAGCGCCACCTAACGGCTAGCCTTGCGGTACACAAATAACACTTTGATAAGAACAAATTCTGATCAATCTTGGTGACGTTTTTACATAGCTACAGTCCAATCCACAAAGTTCCGTCGCTACCAATTCAAAATAGTTAGTTAGGAAAGACTTAAACTACACACTCAAATGGCCTGGAATTGGTACACCAGTTCTATATGTAGTGAATTTCTATTCTGTAAAATGTTCACGTACGAAAATAATGGGATTTATTCAATATATATGTATTCACATGCTACCTACACGATACTAAATGTATTAGTATCACACTTGTAAACGAAAGAATAGACTACATATGTCGTTTATACTTTGAACAGTGACATCGCGTGTCCTAATATAATGGACAGTTCATTGTGAGAGTGGCTTATAAGTTGGGACAAATAACACCAACATTTGCGTAAGAATAGCAGAGCTCTAGACGCAGATGTTTCGCGCCTTTATACCTCAAACAAAGCACAAAGAGGCTGTTGGAGCCACAAATGAAAGTTTGGATTAAAATTTCATAGACATCGTGCACTCAATCAAAAGGACATTGTCTAAAGTGCCCTAAACCCCTGTCTTTTGGGAATGCGCCTCTAGGGGGCGCTATTCCGTAGGGGTGGGATATATTACTGCGGAGTTCAATGTACGATGAAAAATACAATGAGGCACCACAACCCAAACTACTGTGCCTATTCAAGTGTATTATCGACAATTACAGTGTCGAGGTCATTTTGATTAAGGGATAAGGCCGTATAAACGTGTGTTTACAGTGTGACCGTATTGAACAACGATCTAAATTGTTTCACAAATTTAAAGTACGTGACGAAGGAAAAAGTTTGTTTCTTCCGAATAAGACTTCAATTCTAGTCAGATTACAAACGAACAGTTATGTTTCATAGCAAAGTGATTGAAATTGGGTTTTGTATCCTCTTAAGAAGGCTTGAATATGATAAAAATAAGATCGTTGTCTGTCAATGTAAATTCACAAACGAACAGTTATTTTTCATAGGATAGTGACTGAAAAGGGCTCAAGGGTCCTGGAATATATGAGGTACCTGGAATGAGTACATGATTTTTTCAACTGAATACATAGTGGTGACACACTCAGGCGAAATAGCTTATATATAAACGTCACCACTAGACGTATATTAATAATTACAACACAAGACAAAAATATCAAATAGGTAAGGCCCGATAAACAGCAACAGAACTAAACAATTAAGGTGATGTTACCTGAATACAGTTAGCTTTAGAAAAGTATAACTGTGTGATAGAAGTTGAGTGTTGATTTCAGATGACAGTGGATTGAATAGATCAGCAAAACAACCATACAACTTGATGACCGCGCTGCGCTGTTACTAAACAGTGTTAATAAACTTGAAAACATCCCAGGTGGATATGTGACGACGTTTTCAGGTGTGCGCGCATCTTCCTCAGGTGTGAGAAACGTCCTGGAAAACTCATTATCTCATTAGTCATTATCCGCGAGAATTTCTGTCGACGTGGCAGGGCGAACATCGCGATTTCAGAGATCAACACGGACTAGTTTTCAGTTTGATATTTCAGCGCACAAGCTTTACCCAACAAGGCGTAAGTACATCATTTATGACCTTAGGCCTTGGCAAAGTACATGTTGTAAATTTGATATGTGAAGATATTTTGAAATGCCATTTTAGTAACGTCGTCTGCCCATACCACAGGATATATTGGCACGTGGCAAGAAAAAGGGTTACACGTATATCCCTGAAGTTAAACATGTGGCTTGAAAAAAAACTGTATAATTTCAAGAGGCCTCCTTTAGTATATGCTGTAGAATTTCAAGAGGCCTCCTTTAGTATATGCAAGGAAGCTAAATACCATTAAATGTATTTAACCCCCTTGGTATATGTGACATGCATTGCTTGTATTGAATTGCTTGTATTATCATTGAGAATTGACCCTGTTCACACAGAAAATCGTTCCTCACATCTGGTCCACGTGCCACACGTTCCTTTCAAACCGTGCCCGAGCACGATTCGCCTAAACCACAATCATTGTTGTTTGATGAAAACACGTAGGAAGGTAGCGTGTTATCAATGTCAACGTCCTGCTTGCTGGTGCCCCCCTCCCAGCGTACCTATGTTTTGAAGGGTCATGTGTCATGCATACGAAATCACGCTGTTTTGTTTGTTTATATATTTGCTTGAGACGCCTGGTCTATGGAATAAAAAAAGGATATCAGTTTAGAATATTTATTTGACTTAAGCTTCCCTTTGTCTTTTTTATGTATTTTATCAGTAGAATGCCGCCAAAACCCGTTAATCACAACAATAACAAGGTCCGAGCTGACAGTCCCTCTGCACCTGACTCTACCCCGAGCCCGAGGCCTCATGGGAAGGCACGCCGACGTCATCACCGGAACCGGAAAGAGACCTACAACAGTTACATCTACAAGGTGTTGAAACAAGGTACTAGTGTCAATACTGGCTCAGCTAGTTTGCTATTTTTGAGGAAATAGCTTAGATAAACATGCAAAACGATCCACAAAAACTGAGCCGTGTACAAAAGAAAAAAAAACACAAGCATTGAAATTACTATACTCAAAATCAATTTAAAGAATTACCAGCTCAGGAGAGAACAAGAAATAGTCTCGCCTTCAAGTACCAGAGTCATCAATCAAGGATTTAGAATACTGAGATGTTCCAAAACTCATTCTTTCCTAGAACTGGCTGTCACCAAGTACAGTAGGGGCATTATCATTAGATAGCTTTAAACAATGCTTAGAGTTTGATGTTCAAGGGTTAGGTGTAACAAGTCGATCGGTGTAATATAGCCAGCTGCCGCCGCGCCGAGTCTCTGCGAAGCTCGTGTGTTACGCCGAAGGGCGGCTATACCGGCTATTCAAAAACAGATACAGAATATAGTGGTTACTAAGACAGGAAGAAGCTCACTGTAACTGCTGTCTACTTTCTTTGAATTCAGTTCACCCGGATGTTGGGATCTCCAGTAAAGCCATGAACATCATGAACTCCTTCGTGAATGACGTGTTTGAGCGGATGGCTGGCGAGGCCTCCCGACTGGCGCACTACAACAAGAAACAAACCGTCTCTAGTCGGGAGGTAAGAAACCTCCACTCATTGCGTCCTTCCTTCGTCTTCCTTCCCTAATTTCTCCCTTCTTTCCATCCATCCCGATTCCGTCCATCCATCCATCCATCCATCCACCCCTCCGTCCACCCATCCATCCGTCCGTCCGTCTACCTTTCCGTCCGTCCATCCATCCATCCATTCATCCGTCCGTCCGTCCGTCCATCCATTCATTCATCCGTCCGTCCGTCCACCTTTCCGTCCGTCCGTCCAGTCCATCCATCCATCCATTCATCCATCCATCCATCCATCCATCCATCCATCCATCCATCCATCCATCCATCCATCCACCCGTCCGTCCATCCACATCCGTCCGTCCGCCGACCCACCAATCCATCCTTCCATACATCCATACACTACACTACACTACACTAAACTAAACTACACTAAACTACATAGCCTCTACCAGGCTTGGGGAGGCGGCTGGAAGAGTAGAAATCGGCCAAATAGAGAGATAAGCATGCCAAGGGAGTTTGTCCGTTGAGAGAACATTTCGCCGCACCCAGCCGCCTCCCCAAGCCTGGTAGAGGCTATAAACTACACTAAAGTACACTAAAGTACACTAAACTACACTAAACTACACTAAACTACACTAAACTACACTAAACTACACTAAACTACACTACATCGGACTCGGTACGTATTTCTTTTGTTGTGTCTGTAGATCCAGACAGTTGTGCGTCTGCTGTTGCCTGGTGAGCTGGCCAAGCACGCTGTCAGCGAGGGGACCAAGGCCGTCACCAAGTACACTAGCACCAAGTAAACCTGACCCAGTCAGCGGGTTAAGAGAGTCTCCTAGCGGTATCATTTATACTGCACGTTGTTGTTACAACAAGACGATGGTGACCGTCTCTCTATGTTCTTGCTTTTGTAACGTCTTTATAGTTATTCTGACATCTTGATACTTATTTTGTAGCATATATGCTTCTATGTGCGCTATTAAATGGCTTGCTTTTCAGATAACAAACTCGTGATTTTCCTCGCTTTAACTTACCTGCACCAACAGTATAAGTTTGTTTTTGAATACTAACATCCCTAGGTGCGCATTCATGTATTGACACTGTAACGTAGTAATCAAATTTAAGGCCTTGTATCATTGACAAGCTTGTACACCGATTGTTTTCCTACATTCTCTGTTCCTGGGAACAATCGCAAACTAAGCCTTTCCTTTAACCAACCAACCAACCAACCAACCAACCAACCAACCAACCAACCAACCAACCGTACCAACCAACCAAACAAACAAACAAACAAACAGACAAACAAACAAACAAACAAACAAACAACCAAACAACCAACAGCGTTCTTACACCTGACGTCACGGTTTCCATGAACCACAGAGCAGACTACACCGTGCAGTGTACTGGAAGTAAATATGTGTGAAGGTTATAATTGCGTGGTTACCACATGGTTGGTTACAACATGTAACCAGGAAGCTTTGAACCAAGAATGGGCCGTACCATTTTGCAGGTTGTTCTCTCATCGCACAACGCTGTCCACGCGATATTAAAACATTAGGAATAGATCACTATGGACAATGGCACGCTGCGTTTGCATGTTTTTAGAAACATCTAGGTGTCCGCTTGCTGACAAACATCACAGCTCAGTCGCACACCCCTGTAGTGAAATGTAACCGTCCAGTTCGGTTCCTTGGCGTGTGTAATACAGGTAGCTGACGTGACTTTGAGGCATTTTGTTAAACTGTCTCCAAGTTCATTGCTAAGCGTACTAGTCTACAGGCTACAGAACTAAGATTTTACACTTAAGATGCGCTCCCTGTGGGTCGTCACTGTCTCTTCTGGAGATTGACGGAACGCCACAACAAGTTGAGAGACTCAGTCATGGGGAGCGGCGCAAGTGTCAAGAAGAAACCAGCCGCAAACAACCCCAGAGACAAGGTGGGCAAAAATGTTTTGTTCGCTACATGCACATTACAACATGTACAACAACAGGTACGTGACAAGGAGTGACAAGGCATGTAATGGTTATCTTGAAGAAATACATGATCTTGGAAAAGTTCTCAAGGGTAGAAAGATTCAGTTTTAGGTATGTATCGTACTGTTGAACTTTGTACCTTTATCTTAAATAGCATCAACACACACTGAAGTTGTCAAGTTGAGAGTAAACAAACAAACCTAAAGTTGCCAACCACTGGAATATATTGGCGGAAACAAGCTAAAATAATCTTCGTTGTACCTAACGCAACATATATACCACACGACAAAGCACAAACACATTGTATGGACAATAGAACATACAATACAGTAGGTTAGGACTTTCTCAGGTCGATTTTATTGTTCTCGCTATTCATACATTATTAATGACTTCTTTGAAGATTTCATTTAGGTAGGTACTTTGTGCGGTTGGTTAAATATTACAGTAATAGCTTCTTTTGTAGTTACATGTAGACCACGTCCTTGGATTACCGTTAATGCGTGAAAACATCTTTGATCTTTTGTGAGGAAATGTTTGATTGAAAACACGAGCGTTACACGCATTGTGTCTTTTTTTTTTAATATTTTATTTCGAACTATTCTTAAACTTTTTTATGTTCAGATCCGGGCATGGCAGCGTCAGTTGAAGCAAGAACATCGAATCTTGGACAGAGAAATTGGTGGTAAGCGTTTTGTTGAAATGTTGACCCCCGTTCGGACACTTTCCACTTCCTTATGCCATGTTTATGAACCACTCAGCCCAAAGTTTATAGTTTGTGTGACCTGATTGGACAGGTTGCTAAGCGATAGGCAGCAGGTGCACGTGTGTCGGTAGTTTTCTCTAAACAAACCGGTATTGTGAGAGCTGAATCAGGGTGGCTTGGTAAGAAGTCTAGGGAGAACAAAAATAATCTCCAACGGTCCAACCAGAAGCGACTCAATTTAATTAGTTGCACGTCTTTTACAAGTTTGGGGGCATTTTGTTCGTTTCTGTTTTGGCGCACAGTTACTAGTATAGCCTCTACCAGGCTTTAGAAACGGTTTGAAAGAGTAGAAATAGACAGATAACATACCAGGGGAGTTGGTCCGTTATAGTAAACCAACTCGCCTTGCATGTCATCTGTTTATTAGTATTTGGCCAATTTCTAATCTTTCTAGCCGCTTTTCAAGACTTCTGGTAGTGGCTACAGGTCCTACAGTCGGCATGCCACCGTATTTTTCTATAGCCTGGGTTCCATCCTGGTGGTAGCGACTGTGGGAGCGGACGTTAACTAACCAGGATGGAACCCAGGCTAATTTTTCTAGAGATTAAGTGACAATTTGGATACAGAATTTGAGGACACAATGTTGATAACAATGTTGTTTTCATTCAACTCCAAGCATTTGGACGTGCGGACGCTGAGACAAAGAAGAAACTTCGCGATGCGGCAAAAAAGAAAAAGACCTCGAAGGACGCATGTGTACAGCTGGCCCGGCAGATCGTTCAGAACAGGAAGGCTGTGACCAGGCTGTACGCAGCTAAGGCCAAACTCAACTCGGTGGAAAACTGCCTGAAACTTCAGCTAGGTGGGCTACTGTTCCCTCACTTTGTAACACATGATCAGTCGAAGGGCCAACGGTCGAATATTCTATTCCACTTCCGGGGTTTTCTAAAACCCGGCAGACTGCTCTGGGACCGAGAACAGCGTTGGCGGATGAACGAGAGCAGATATTAGCGTCCGACTTTAACCCTTTCTTCCCAGAAATAAACAAGACAAGGCCGGTTATGGCGGTGAAATCTTACTTACTGTAAGATAAGGATCAATTTGAGATAGTTTTTGCGGCTCATTGACCGATAGTTTACATCCGATAACGCTGTGAACTTTTGGGTGTTATTTGAGGGGTGTTGTGGTAGCCCTGACTTCTATTTTGGTTCTGCGCTCTCACCCATCTTTTCAACATCCAATTGTGGTATAAAAGTACAGGGCAACTGTTGCAGAAAATGCACAGAAAGTTTCGTTTGGGATCATATAGGAGGTGTTAGGTTATTGTTGACCGATTGGTGTTGAAATTTATTTCTGCGACCCAGGCGTGGTGCCTGTTCCATGATTTCACAATCACAATAAGTTTGGTATCATAGGAAAGGATATTTCATGAGCGTTTTAATGATATATGATACATTGAAATTGATAAAGAAACAAGAGTTCCACGATCTCATACCTTCGCCAAATGATGTTAACCCTTGCGGGTGACGATTTATACAATTTTAATAATTGATTTTGTAAATAAGAGCCTCATTTGCATGGATTATATCAGTTGATCACATTCTCCATCCAATGACAGCCTTATCATAACAAAAAGGCTATTATAGCCCTTCCTCATAAATTATGCAAATGAGGTCATGATCTAAATAAATTATGTTTATTGATGTTCACCTTCACTTAACTTCCAAATGTGGCAAGTATGAAATTTGGGGTGCAGCAGTTACAACTATGGAATTATAAGAATTTATAATGCAATGCCATTTATTATGCAAATTAGGTCCTCATTTACATAATCTATATTCTCAGATGTTTTTCTCGTTCTCAAGTAGATGTCACAAGTGTTTCATAGTTCTATTATCGAACAAAGCAGATTTATAGAATTTCCTCATAAATTATGCACATTAGCTCCTGATTTGCATAATTGCCATCTGATTATGTCAAGCATCACTTCAACTACCTACATACCAAAAATCACGACAATACGTCAACCGGTTCTTGAATTATCGTCCTTTAAATTTTTTTCAACAAATGCTCCTGCAGTTCCTGAACAAGGCGCTAGGGGACCCAAACTCATGTCACTTCTTCCCTACCCCAAGAGCTATCTACCAATCAAAATTCGTGACCCTAGCATGTCCAGAACATGAGATATCAAAACCGGAAGTTCAGCTGCAGTACCTAGGAAAGCCGCCATGGGGCCCAAAATCTAATCATTTCTAGGTCTCATGAATACCTACCCACCTACCAAGTTTCATTCCAATCCATCCACTGCTTCTCGAGTTATCTTGCTAAACCACACACACACACACACACAAACACACCCACACACAGACAAACGCTACTGAAAACATAACCTTCTTGGCGAAGGTAACAATGGAAATATGATGGAACAAAGTTGAGTAATCCAAACTTTTTGCGCCAAGTTTAGTTCCGTGGTTACCGCTGCAGAGCGGCCGCGTTCCAACACGCGGGGCGCTGCGGTCTAACGTTCACTGGTCTATTTTGGCCCCGCGGTATCAGTCATTAACAGCGTGTAACTTATCAATCTATATATGAAAATAAAGCTGATGTTTATAGGAACTAGAAAGGCCAATATTTGCTTTGGAGCAAATACAGCGATGGGTTCACCACATTTTACGACATGGCAGGGAAAGAATGAGAAACACAAGGGAAAACAATGATTTACATTGATATAACTATAATATGAAGTAACATACGACTAAAACAACAGTTGGATAGCTATTCCCTACTTTATTGGTTAGGATTTTTAATTGCATAATGCAAACTGTTGATTTTCAAAATAAAAATAACGTTCATGCCCCGCATTCCAATGCTGGAGCAGGAAAGCTTGAAATACCTACCAAAACACTTGAATACAGACATACTGTCAGTATGGAAATGCTCTGTGCAGGTGTTAATCAAGTTAAATCCCAACAGCCAATCAGCAAGAAATGCTCTGTGCAGGTGGAAATGCTCTGTGCAGTTGATAATCAAGTTAAATCCCAATAGCCAATCAGCAAGAAGAATAGAGGAAAGCTGCATGCCTATTGGTTGATGCCCTGCATTCCATTGTGATGACTCATACCCAAACGTGGTAAACACGGCACACTAACACAGTAATGCATTTGCTATAACACAGCCAAAAAACTCAAATAAAACCATTCTAAAAGCCTGTATCACAAAAATTTAAAAAACGCCTAGTGGTATTTGCCCACTGTACCTCCATACCAAATTTCAGGACCTTAGGCCCTAAAATGAAGAAGCTGAATCCATTTAAAAAATGGCAGGAGAAGAAGGAGGAGAAGGAGAAGGAGAAGGAGAAGAAACACCAGAAAAAGCAATATGGTTTCACCTCACCACTTCGTGGTGTGGTGAACCCATAATTAGTACACGTAGTTTTCAAGAGGGACTAGAATGCTACCTGTTCATTACAATCCTAGAAACATAACTAAATTTGAACGCGGGAGGAACTGCGTCTCTATGACGGAGTGAATATTTTCTATATGAGTTCTGCGCTCCCCCATAATCAAGTCGACAATACGCTATACATCAAATAAAAGGCACAGTTTCTGAAAATTAGCACACGAATTTTCATAATGATTCATGATCTCTGCGTGCTTACAACGCCGCTACAGTTTTGACCACAATTTCATGAAGAACGACGGTGCGCGGAGGTAGAACGCGCTGGGTATGGCGTCGTCATATAACAAAGTGAACATTTCCCGTCTTCTACTGTCGTGCAACTTCTACAATTTAAATCGCCATTAAACTACGTATCGATGGAAAGCTAAGGTTTGTGATGAATCAGCATATCAATTTTAAGAGGTTTAATGAATTCTTGGCGCTTATCATGGTGACAAAGACGTACATTAAGTCCCACGGTTTCTGCTCCGCGTTCCACCATGGAACATAAAGGGCGCTGCGGTTTGAATGGTGTTAATCTCGTCTATTTTGGTTCTGCGCTCTCTCCCATTAAAAACGGTATCAAGCTATATATCAAATTAAAGCTCAGATTTTAGGGAATCAGCACACACAGTTTCAAGAGGGATCATCAATCCTATCTGCCGAAAGCAACCGTACAAACATGGCCGTAAAATTAGCAGATTTCAACGCACAACTACTACAACTTTTATTCATCTCTAACAAAAATCTTTAACACGGTCGGACTCGTCAAAGCCTTGTCCTTTTGCTTGCCAAAATTCAAAAAGAAACACCGAGCCATGTTTTTACCACGCGTGTAAACGTCAAGGGTGTTTTCACGGCGGAAGCGCCACGCGTCAAAATCGCGCTTTTACAAAATAAGCGTGTTCTAGAGCATTGGCCCTTCGACTGTGATACAGTTCCCTGTAACCACGTATATGTGTAGGTGTGTAAATATTGTACGTTTGGGAATGCATCTACAGCAGCGGCACCTGTGCTACAGTGCAATGTGAACCAGTCAGAATTGTTCTGAGGAAGGTGACAGACGGTCACCGAAACTTCGGCTGAATAAAAGACTTGGTTGTGTAAAAAGAGTGTCTTTACTCATTGACTTACCAACCTGATGAAACTATTCACGGATGTACAAGATCTGTACGAAGGATTTGAGCATTTAAATGAATTTTTCAGTGGTGTAAAATGACTTGGTGTACCTAAATATTATCTTGCTTTTTTTATCCGTGGTTGTTTTGTCACAAATTTTCAGTTAGGACGTTGTTGGCTGGTTTATTGTTGGTGTTCGGTCGTTCCTTTCCTTCAGTTAATTTCAAAGCTTAAAGTCACTGACGAAAAGTAGTGGATGCTACTTGAAACGCCGCTGAGAGTTTCAAAATCTTTCCATGTGCTTGAGTAACAATTTTCTTGTTTATAAAGTTTCAATTTTTTCGTATACAGAATGATTCTGATTGCACATGGACTAGCCTGATGTCTAGCCTTCTTGAGATTTGATTTTGGTCCTCTTCTACTACAAGGGGTACAACGTTGGCAGAACGTACTACACCTGCACGAAATTCGTAGTGTATTATGCATAGCGCTTCGGCAGAACGACTCATGTAAGGTCGTATTCGCGTATACAAGGTTAACATACATCCCGTCTGTAGTTTAGAACTGTTATGTCTGAAAAGATATCGTCTGCAACAGGCAAAATTCTGATGCAACGTTGACTAAACATCCAACGAAAACCGTGGAAAATCAGGGTTTCATGCAGGCGCAGTACGTTCTGCCGACGTGCTGGATTTGTTAACGTTGTTTGGTATTTCACTGTGACATTTCCCCGCCATTTCCAGCCAACGTACGATTGGTCAACGCTTTCGAGTCGAGTGCTGACATCATGAAGGACATGCAGTCCCTCCTGCAGGTGTCACAGATCCAGAAAACCGTCTCAGACCTCACCAAGGAGATGGTCAAAGTAAATAGACTTAATATCATCTTACAAGAAATATATTAATTCAATTAAGTTTAACTAGAAAGGTAACATTCGCAAAGCAAATGCATAATGTTTACCTTCGCATATGGTCTGCTCTCTTATTAATTCTTTTTTACTCAAACACATTCATAATGTGTTTGAGCCTAAATCCTCCTGCTATAAAATTGCAGCATGATGTAACCCAATACTAGTTACCATGGTAACAGACAGTCTTGTTCAGGTCAGTGAGGCCATTGTTTGGAGAAGAAGAAACGTAGCTATGGCAAAAACAAAATGTTTTCCTTCGGTCAACATAATTAAGTTTAAATGTGAGCTATTGCATAAACATTTTGAAAATTAGAAGTAAATGAAAATCATACGGAGGTTTCTTAAATCAAAATATTTCAGTTTTAGTGAAAAATGTCAACGTTACATACCGAAATGGTCCTTTAACGTATATTTTTCCCTCCTCGCCACCACCAGGCTGGCGTTATAGAGGAGACCCTCGAGGACGTTTTTGACGAAATGGAGGATCAGGAAGAAGTGGACGCCCTGGCGGAGGAAGAGGTGGAAAAGGTGCTGTTTGAACTCACACAAGGCAAGTACTGTAGTCCATAAGCTCCGTGTAGTACATGAAACGAAAGACCATTCATTTACGCTCTCTAGCGGGTGTTCGTAAAATTGCAGCAACGGTACGGGTCACGCATTGATGGTCAGCATTGCAAAAGCACTGTATATTGCTTTACAGGCGGTCTGAATACTTTAGCATGTTGAGCCTTTTCGCTGTCCTTACACACAGAACAGAAAGCTAAGGCGCATTTAACGCATGCCTTCATTGCAATTATAGGCCAGGTTTATTCTAAATCTATCAGTATTCTTCATAGTTCATTGTCACCTACTGCTATCCAGGTATGTATATTCTACAGTAGAATACTTAAAAGTGAATAGAGATACATATATTTGCATCTTTCTGTGCTTTTGTATGTGATAACACTTTATGCTATCTAACAAAGTATCCCATATGACTTTTATAGGCGCCCTTGGAAAGGCACCGGCAGTAGTAAGGAGTGAGCCGGGAGAAGGAATTAAAGCGGAGGATGCCATCCCACAACAAGAACCGAAGGAAAAAGTATAAGCAAGTGACTGAAATGAATACAGCACATGCAATGTTGTGAAAAAAGAATGTTTTATTCTACTTTGCAAGTGGGTATACTGTAGCAAAAATATACATCTTCTCAGAAGAAAAAAGAAATACGTACAGATTTTTTTACTCACTCTTCTTACAAACTACACAGTCTATACAATGTACAAATAAGTTTCTCTGTGCAGACTTGTAACAGAATTTTTCCATGGCCATATGTATGATTGTTTCCAAAAATATTTTTAACATTTGGTACATGTATTCAATGTAAATTTTTCTAAAGTAATACACTATACACATGATTCTTCCCCATACATGTATTTACCACAAGAAAACATCGCAGTTAACGTTTCATTACTCAAATAGTCTTCATAAGATATGTGTGAGTGTCACATCAGTGTATATAAGAATGTTCAATTGATGATCTATATATTGTGACGTTATTTTACAACTCTAGATATTCTCCGTTTTTGATAGTAGTATAACATTACTTGATCATTTTTGTCAATATCTTTAGTCAGAATTGTGTAGTTTGCTGCACACATGTACATAATTAAACTTTTAAAAAATTGTGACAATATGTCATTGAGTGTTATATAGGACAGATTCATCAAAACACTAGAAAAACACACAATAATATACAGCAGAAATGTCAGGAAAGCTGTAGCTGTACTGTGAGTCTGCTCTTGATTTCTGATACAGGAACAAGCTGGAAGGAAATTCAAGAAGTCAAATTAATAATTTAATCAACAACATTTCACCGCTGTTGTACACCAATGACTTATCCTGTCATATCGAAACAAACCAGTGCGCACTGTTATCTTTCTACAGCTTCATGACAACATACTCTCTCATTTTGGCCGCTGGTAGTAGTAGAAAAAGTATTTACAGTTTGTAGTTGAAGAGCTTACACATGCTCAACTTATGTATATACAAATGTATACTGATCATAGCAAGTTCTTAATTTGTGGCATCTTGATGCAAACAATGTTTCAGATAAATGTAAACCTGTGAAAGGGAGAATTATTTTTTTTAAAGAAGAGAACAAAATCAGTGACCATCAACTTTTTGTGGTCTAATAAACTGAAAATAACACGACGTTCTAGTTAAGCCTAGGAAAAAAATACAGTTTCCTGTTCCGGTCCTGAAAAATTAGGGTCTATAGGTAGGGATTATATTTTTTTCTTTCTTTTTTTTTACAATTTGGCGATCTGTAGTGATCTACCTTAAACAATACAGTTTATTAAACGAAGTAAAATTTGCATGAGGACACCTAACGTTATAGTTTTAATGTCAAATCACTCTGGTGTAAGATAATGGAGCTATATAGTAGAGAATTCTATCAGCTTGAAAAAGTTATGTCTCTTGCAGTTTTTTCTAGGGTCGGTCTGGAAACAGGAAACACAACATTTTTTTCCTAGGCATTACGAGAGTCCAAATATCACCACCTACCTGACAGAACTCGTCAAAGTTGATGTATCCGGGTGTGGCCAGGTCATCCCGGAACAGCACCTGTGCTGTCAGGTGAGAGATCTTCTGGTCGGACAGCGCGGGGCTGTACAGCAGCTTGTACAGGCTGAACAGCTCCTCAAACCCCAGCTGTTCCTGGCTGTCCACATCCAACATGTCAAACGCAACTGACGAAACACAGAGAGTCAGGTGTTAAAAGAAGTAAGGCATGCCCGTAGCCAGGATTTTGAATGGGGGGTTCTTCCCACTGCTTGAGGGGACCTCGAGCGCCGTAGGCACGAGGCGAGCGCCGAAGGCACAAGGTTCCTAGGGGGGCCGGAGGCATGCTCCCCCGGGAAATTTTGAAAAATGAACCTTCTAAAATGGCATTTCGTGCATTTTTGAGAGGATTTCCAAGAAAAAATCAGAGATAAATTTTCATTCAATGACAAAGGGAGCAGTTTTTCTACGATTCCAGTCCATCCTTTCAAGAAAAATCTTGGACCTTTACATAAAAAGTGGACCTTTACATAAAAAGTGGACCAAAAAGTGGACCTTTGAGCCTTGTGAGGGGGGTTCTTCCGAACCCCCCGAACCTCCCCTGGCTACGGGCATGTAAGGTACTGTTTAAGTTCGGTGATGATTGATGTTCTAGCCATCTTCCATTTGACAGAATTTTTCTGCTCGTGATGGAAAAAAATTTTGCCCAATTTGTAAAAAATTGGTGTGTTAAAATATGGAAAGAAACTTAGCTCTACCAGCAAAATTTGGCCCTCAAAATACAGGAAATAGCATTTTAGAGGGTCAAGATTTTCCCTTGGAGCATGCCTCCAGACCACCCTAGGATTGTCGCACCGAACATGTTAAACAGAAAAAAAAAATTCAGCCTGGCTAGCTAGAACACTGGTAATGATACAAAAAATTGTGCTCTCTGATTGGCTAGAACAAATGATTAGATCAGATGACTCACACTTCTGCTTCTTGTCCATTGGTTGATCAGGGTGCAGCATGGAGAACAGCAGGAGGAAGGGTTCAGGGCCGAGGTTACCGCCCTGCAGGTCACTGAACTTGGCAAACACGCACGGCATGATGGGATTCCCAACCACCTCAGGGATGTTCAGGAATTTGGTTATAGGAATTCCTGCAGATTGTGAAGAAATAAAAGATTAATATTCAGGTTCAGTCAGGAAACATTTTATACATGTAACGTTAGCACAATACTAACTAAAGTTTCAATGCTTTTAAGAATATAAGAAATAGATAACAAACAGCGATACGTTTTGTAGTACAAAATGTGAAAGTGTCCAGATAGAATGAACTTTCAAAAGGTAACGTTACATGTACTGTAATTTGGTATGACTACTTGTACAATCTATACCCAAAGACTGCTTTTTAATACCTTACCTTCTTCCCCATTGGGTGAATTGTCCAGTGCTCCATATCTCTTCAAAATTTTCGTGATTTCTTTGGCACTGACTGTAGAAAAATGAAGGGGTCAGAGCAGTTAGTATCTTGCAGAAATCTTAAGCATCATAAGTTCTGAACAATACCAAAAAGCATCTAAAATTCGGCTGATCAAACTGAAGCTGGAAGATTTGCTTACAGTTTGTAGCCTTTTCTAGTTCCTGAAGCTTTTCCTCGCTCAAGACTGATCCCTGGTTACCCTGTGTGTGAATAGAGAAGCACACAAATCATTAACACTTTCGTCACAGTCTACGGCCGGATAGATAGAATCGGCCTCCTTGGTAGCAAGTAGTTTCAAATCCTGTAGAATTCCAATTTAGGCCGCTCTATACTGTTAGATGAAATAAGTAAGCATTTGACATGAACACAAAACTACTGTCCTACTAACCATGACTTCATTTGGCTATCTCATAACAGTTTTTCGGTGTGCGAAACTTCGGAGAGCTGTGGATCTGGAGACACCTGTTGCTGTTGTATTCGACAGCGTCATAGCATCACTTCCGGGTCAACAAAATAATGACCCTACAGAAGCGCCTCTTGCGAGTTTGATAGAGATTGCAGTGTATGGTCCTTTATGCCATTACGATGATTGCCATGATAATGCTGGTATTTAGGTACTCTCCAAGCAGAGGTTTGGGTTTGGGGTTATTTTTAACGTGTTTTTAGGCTTTTTTTATCGGGGTTTCTCTTTTGCACTTAATTTTTTTCCCACCAAACCCAACCTCTGCAGGCAGTCGAAAGCTTCAATGGGCTATAAACCTAATCATTTCAACACATTTCAATCGTTCTGCAAGGAGGTGTGAACCAGACGCATGCATGAGGAGACAGGGAGGATGGTGATTTCTGTGCAATTATTTGGAGCCACATCTCATGTATCGTAATCTACGCTGACTCCAGCCAGTTACAGTTTATTTCATGCCCCTCACTACCATTTCACATTTGAAGTATCCGTTTGAACTCTTAGGTTTTAGCCATGGGACCAATCATTATTATTATAGAGTAGTCATTAAACGACATTTCGGGTAACGAGTATACATTATTGTTGTGATATTACCCTAGCCCAATTGTATTAATAAAGTTTAGGTTGATGAAATTCCGTCTGCGCTATCGAGTATCAATCACTTGACAGTCCTGAAATTTTTCGGTGAGATCAATTATTATTGTGAAGGAGTGGCACAGTTGGCATAACGTTTTGTTTTTCGTCACCCTCTGGCTACGTTTTATTGTAAAAAAAAACGTAATATTACATAATCATTATAGCATTTGGTTACATTGCTGTACGCCGTTTTAATTTCATTTAGAAGAGGCGAGCTTGCTGTCCGAATTTATAGTCATATTGCAAACGAATGACGTATTTTCCTTTTTAATTGCAATATAGTGTTGGAAACGCAACATTATGGAGACATTCTGTAAGGGAATCTTTTAATTTTTTTAATGTCTAAATATTTTCCCATCAAAAGTCCACAGGTTACCGAAGCATTGACAATGAGATCCTCTTTTAGGCCAATTTCTGTACACTTTATTTCATAAGCGAGACCATATCATCAATACATGAACATATTGTAACTCATATAGTAGTTATTTGTAGTAAGAAATATAATAAGATAGTTTAGTTTTGTAGTATTGTTGTATTACTGCCACACATTGTACCATGTACGATTGTCGAGCAATAAAGTTCATTCATTCATTCATTTATTGGATTAAACTTTAAACAATATTAAAAGAAGATGAAAATTATAGCCTCGAATTAAAAAACGTTTCGAAGGTATTAAAATAGCCTTTTTATTTTCAAAAATTCGTTCACTTTCAAGTGCCATCACAAAGAAAGGTGGGCGTGGCCAAGATGAAGTTGAACTACATTGTCCGTATGCAAATGAGGTATCATCGCTGCCTGGAGATGACCTGTAGTACACAAAAACACCTTTACAAGACGGGGACACGCCCTGGTGGCAAACAATATATGGGGTTCTGGCGAATGATTTACAGTCCTGTAAACACTCAGGGACACAGTATATCACCGTGGACCGTTTCAGGCTGATGAGCAGGCCGAGTACGGGAGGATCGGGCAACCGTGTGACACCAGGCGAGGTTAGTCCTGAGCTCCCCCCGGTAGAGATCGTGTACCCGTCCGCCGTCCCAGGGACCGCTTGGACCGCCAACATGTCCGGGTCCTACACGCTAACGGGAGACCTGGCCGGGATGGAGAACGGCGCCATGGAGCTGCAGGAGGCGCCCGGTAAGCCGGCCGTGGTCGACATCGACGATCCGAAGCCACCAGGGCCGGAGAGGGAGGCTGACGGAGGGCTAAGGCGGTGGGAAAGTGCGGAAGCGCTGAACGTCTCTCTACACCAGGTACGGCGCCCCCCTCCCCCCACATACATATTTTGCACTTAGCGTTGTTTCTTGTCATACAGGTCGTATTATGCCTTGTGGCACGTTAGCAAACACATGTCACTCACACCATGGATGTATAGTTTCCTTGCGGTAGTTAGACTGGATTCGCAAATTCCCGCGATTGCCAAATTAGTGGATTTTTTATTTGGACTGGTGCACCAAATAAGTGTGGGAAAACCTTAATTGTCTGGTGTTGTTTACATGTACATGGTATTGTGTTGTGCAGTCAGGCAGGGTCAGTGTTTGGGTTGTTTGTTGGAATAGTTAAAGTACATGTTTCTTACTTTACTTTAAATATCTGAGCATTAAACATTGCAAACAAAATCGTTATGGTTTCCTATTTATGATCCCTAATATTATGCATATTATGGTCTACAATCAAAACATTCTAATAGGCTTTTAATAGATCATGATAAACTTAATTTGTCAACCCACAGAAACTGTGATTTTTATCTATTCCATTAAAACACAATTTTAAAAAATTATTTTTCCTTTTAGTTTTAATTTTATTAAAAGACAAAGATAAATCTGATTAAATTTGATGTTGGCCACCTACCTACAAAGAAGAAAGAATAATAATTTTAGAATACTCTTCAAATCCTGAAGCTTCCATCTAGATTTTATGCCAGTTTCATCTTATATGTGCATCTTGTTCTTTTGTTGTTTTTTTTACCCTTCCCCAGCTCATTTGAACATGCCAGTTCCTCCCACCATACCTAAAGTTTCACCTGTTGTGTTGACATAAATTTAAAATTCCCACCTGTTTGGTTTTTGCCTCAGGCATTCATATCATAATACACAAAGTGGGAAGTATGATTTGACAAAATTATCACGGTACAGTCACATCCCTACAATCTACAATCTATTTTGCAGATTTCTTATTTAGAATACATGAATGTAAAGATGTACATGTAAATATTTTTTAAAGAAAGACATTTCTAGTTATTATACAACAAAAACACCATAAATTTTTTATGAAGACATAGATCCAGATTAGACGAATTCTAATATAAGTTTGAAGGGGCAGAAGCACAGCACAAAGTTCAAATTTTAGTACTATCAAAATCAGTAGAAATCAATTGCTACTGAACACAAATTCACAGTTGTACTTCAAATACTACCTGGAACAATAAAAAAGGTTATTACGGCCAGTGCTAAGAAATTTTTTTCCAGAAAGCTCCTTTTTTTCATTCTTTACAAATGAGAATTCCGAAAGGCTTTCTATAAAGAATTCTTTACACCTGAATAAGAATTCCGAAAGGTAGTATAGTGCAAGTTTGCCCCACCCTCTTCTCTTGTATGTTTTTTTTCTGAACCATCCTAGGCTACAGTATTGACAAGCTGATCCGTATTTGAAGACTGAATGCGAGTATGTTTGTTTTGTTACAACTGATCAATGACACAACAGAAAAATGTCCTTAGTAACTGGAGAAAAACACCCGACGCATTTGTTTTGTAAATCCAAAAGGCACGTCGGTAAATATAGAACCTGTCCCTTCAACAAACTAAAGGTGGATGCTTGTAGATGTTTTGCATGCACTGCAATGCATAAAAGGGGCATGACAAATAGAAGACATAAACACATTTAACGTTAAGTATCTAAACATGAGAAATTTACCAGAAAGATGTGCTGTGTCAATGTAAATACAAAACCTGTCCCTTCAACAAGTAAGGCGGATGCTTGTAGATGTTTTGCATGTACAGCAATGCATAAAAGGGGCATGGCAAATAGAAGACATAAACACATTTAACGTTAAGTATCTAAACATGAGAAATTTACCAGAAAGATGTGCTGTGTTATATAAAACCCGTCCCTTCAACAAACTAAGGTGGATTCTTGTAGATGTTTTGCATGTACAGCAATGCATAAAAGGGGCATGGCAAATACATGTAAAAGACATTCATAAACACATTTAAGTATCTAAACATGAGAAATTTACTGGAAAGATGTGTTAATCTGCATAAACTAGAAATAATAATATTTGGATGAGGCTGGCAGCTTTACAATCATAAGTGTCACATTTGATGAATAACGTACATCAAGTCAGTATTTGCTGTCACAGGTGATTTCTTCAAATTCGTGTCAATTACAAATACTGTACATACCACAACATACAAGTCTCATCCAAAAAAAAAATACTGAGTAGTGTAAGGCCATACCAATTTAATTTGTTGTTTCACAGATTTGCCCTGTCCCTTTTTTTTATTTGCATAAATAGCAAAATACTCAATGAAAAATTGAAAGACATATTTTGGCCCCAACGGTTGAAGAAAGTCCTTTCCTTCCTAGTTGTTAAAGTTTTTTAAAGTAATAATGCAATTTTGTTTGAATTTGATTAAAAGTTCAAAATCTGCTATTTTAATTATAAACCAGCCTGGTACGTTCACTTCATGGCTCATATTGTAACATTTCCGACTATCATGGGGTGCCTTGGCCTGTTTTTTTATTTTATTTCGCCCTGTCGCTTCATATTTTTTCTGAAAAAAATCCGAGAAACAACAAATTAAATTGGAATGGCCTAAGTTTATTTTGTATGAAGATGCACAAGAATGCTTTTTTTCATCTCTGGTGCAATTTATCATGTTGAAGGTAGCCAGTATCTAATTATCTTGAGTGCTCTGTAGATTTCTGTCAATGCCCTGAGTACTAAGCCTGTTTCGCTTCTTATTCAAAGACACCAATCACTAATATTAGTACAATTTGCATTGATCAAGAGCCTTAATATAACACCTACAAAATATGTTTAACTTCCGTGCTTTATAATACTGTATATCTAGTATGTAATCTATTGCTTAGAATTGCAAATAACGTTACATCATGTAGATTGTGTTAGGTCCGATCAACTATCATGAATAATTTATTGCAATTAGAATCAAGAATCGTGATCTTTCTTTCAACTGCACCCAGTTGGAAGAGTCAGTGTACAGTTGTGGAGAATTAAATAGAAGGCCACATCCTTGGGTAGAATCCAAGAAAATTGGTGTTACTGAGTCAGCAAATTTTGTATGTTATAAGAGTAATAATAGGTAGCAGTTACCTTAAAGTTAAACATTAACATTTTCTTCAGTAACATTTAGTTTTATAAGTTGTGTTTTTTCATAATTTTTCACCAATTTTATATTATCCAGTGTCTTGTAATTACCAGAATTTTCTTATCCCCAAATTATTACAGAATTTTCTTATCCCCAAATTATTACATCTTAACAATGGAGATCTTTGGCATTCTAATTTCTTGAAAGAATATATTCAACAGAGATTGCTACAAAGGCATCTAAAAAAAGCAGTGCTTCAGTTTCAAACCTTAAGTCAAATTTAAGAAATCCCTAAGTCTACTGAAGAATTCAATCTGAGGAATGACTTATAAGATTGCTAGTTAAAAACAGTAAACTTGTAGTTGTACACCAGGTGTTACGAGCAAAAGTCACAACCTGTGAGATTCTTGAAATAAAATAATATCTTAAGGTACTAGTAGGAAACACTTTGAACTGAATACAGAATGTAAGCATGGCATTTATGGTATAATGAATACATAGGCCACACCAATTTAATTTCTTGGTTAACGGATTTTTTTAGAAAAATAATGGAGCCGGCGGGCGAAAAAAAAATAAAAACAGGTCTAGGCATCCTATTATGGCACAAAATGGTACCATAGGAGCCATGCTGGTTCAAAATTTAAACAAGAGTTCCACGATCTCATACCTTCGCCAAATGATGTTAACCCTTGCGGTTGACAAATTATACAATGAATTTTAATCATTGATTTTGTAAATAAGAGCCTCATTTGCATGGATTATATCAGTTGATCATATTCTCCAATCATTGACAGCCTTATCTTAACAAAAAGGCTACTATAGCACTTCCTCATGAATTATGCAAATGAGGTCATGATTTGAATAAATTATGTTTATTGATGTCCACCTTCACTAACTTCCAAATGTGGCAAGTATGAAATTCCCAGCAGTTACAACTATGAAATTACAAACATTTGCCATTAATTATGCAAATTAGGTCCTCATTTACATAATCTATATCCTCAGGTGTTTTTCTTGTTCTGGTCTCGGACCGGAGTTTTTTTCACGATTTTGGATCCGGCGGACACCCTCAGACCGAAGGGCTATAACTCCGCCAAAAAAAGTACGCCGGGAAATCTCATTACATCAGTCAACGGAGGTTTCCAGCCGGCTTCCGATACAATTTTGGTTATTGTCCGTCGACTCTATAATTTGGGTAGAAACTGTAGTTAAACGTAAATTTTGGATACGAAAAATGTAGTTTTTTTGCAGTTTTTTCAACGGACCTGCTCGGAAAAAACGAATTTTCCCAGGCTAACGGCTTATATGCTGAAATAGCTTACTACTTTCTGTTTCTGAAAAACAGAAAAAAAATATAGGTTGTTGCGATAAGTTTTTCGCAAAATCCGGTGACGCGAACCCCTAGAAATTCCACATAGAACGCAGCTATTTGGGTCATCAGGCGACAAACCGCATCACCCTTGCTCGCGGACTAATACCAAAAACGCTTCGCTGGCCGTCCAACTTCACCGCGCCGAAAAACACTACAATCCCAAGGCTTTTTGATCAATTCAAAACCTAGTTGAAAATCTACAGCGATCGCCGAGCTATGGGGAGCCAAACCTAGCGTGACAACCTCGCAGATCCGGCGATTTACTGCGCACTATTTGGAACCCTGGTCAGAATTAAACTCCGACCCGGAACCTTAAGGAGATTATTTTTCATAAAAAATTATCATAATTCTTCAGAAACATCATATCTATCATATATCCAAATTTCACATGTCTGCGATGAGTACTTTTCCCGCGGCAGTGGTTTAAAGTCATGTGAAAAATGCAGTGTTCTAAGGCTATATTGCCAAGTCTCGGGTCCCAGGCAGCGTTACAATGGGACAAGTAGAAAAATACCGTTATTTCAAACATCGCTTTCCTCACAACAGTTATAACGGAAATAAAAGTCTGCCCTGGATCTTGGCTATGGATATATGTGTTCTTTTCGTGGTTTCGGTGCCGCATACTTGCAGAAAACGTTCTTAACAGTTGGTATCGATGACGTCACGCAGTGACGTCATCGGGTCCCCTGGGAAAACAGCATGGGGTCGCGTTTTAGGTTCGTCGCTTTAAAGTAAAAGGAAGAATTCGTCAGATTTCGACCTTGAATGATAGACCAGGGTTCGCACTTTCCGAATCAAACGCGTCCGACACCAAACTCTTCACTATTTCGCCGTGAATGGCCTATTAAGTAGCAAAGCGCTCCTTAAATGTGTGAAAGGCTGCATTATTACGAGGTGCAAAACACAATCTGGGTGATATTGCCGTGGCTAGGAGCAAGAAGTTGAAATAAACCCTGTAAAGATGTGAGGAGTACTTATTAGGCTATCACTTAACACCACCCAAAGGAAAGAAAGTCGCGAATTTAAGGAGCCCTGAACCGAACATCAGAAAACCCAGTTTTGCCTTAAAGAAGGCTTAAAACACTTCGATTTTGCTGTTAAATGTCAGTTTAAGTCACCATAAATAGAGAAACTTCGCCGAAATTATACGAAAGTCAAATTCAGAGGTCGACTCATATAAAATGACATAGAAAGTGAATTCATGCAACAACTGTTTACCTTCCAGAAACGATTAAAATTGCCCTGACGGGGATTTCGGGGGGGGGCGGGAAAGGGGGAGGGGGGCGCCTAGGGCCTGGGCATGAAATATACGGACTTTTTTACTCGAAAAAGCAAAATGATGCGGTTTTTTGTCAGAATCGGATAACTTTTGCCAAAAACTTTTAAATCCATACGAATGACGTCATCGATGACGTCATTTTTTGCGCATGCGCCGTGCTTTTAAGGTCTCGGACCGGAGTTTTTTTCACGATTTTGGATCCGGCGGACACCCTCAGACCGAAGGGCTATAACTCCGCCAAAAAAAGTACGCCGGGAAATCTCATTACATCAGTCAACGGAGGTTTCCAGCCGGCTTCCGATACAATTTTGGTTATTGTCCGTCGACTCTATAATTTGGGTAGAAACTGTAGTTAAACGTAAATTTTGGATACGAAAAATGTAGTTTTTTTGCAGTTTTTTCTAACGGACCTGCTCGGAAAAAACGAATTTTCCCAGGCTAACGGCTTATATGCTGAAATAGCTTACTACTTCCTGTTTCTGAAAAACAGAAAAAAAATATAGGTTGTTGCGATAAGTTTTTCGCAAAATCCGGTGACGCGAACCCCTAGAAATTCCACATAGAACGCAGCTATTTGGGTCATCAGGCGACAAACCGCATCACCCTTGCTCGCGGACTAATACCAAAAACGCTTCGCTGACCGTCCAACTTCACCGCGCCGAAAAACACTACAATCCCAAGGCTTTTTGATCAATTCAAAACCTAGTTGAAAATCTACAGCGATCGCCGAGCTATGGGGAGCCAAACCTAGCGTGACAACCTCGCAGATCCGGCGATTTACTGCGCACTATTTGGAACCCTGGTCAGAATTAAACTCCGACCCGGAACCTTCTCAAGTAGATGTCACAAGTGTTTCATAGTCCTATTATCAAACAAACCAGATTTATAGAATCCCCTCATTAATTATGCAAATTAGCTCCTAATTTGCATAATTGTCATCTGATTATGTCAAGCATCACTCCAACTATCTACATACCAAAAATCACTACAATCCGTCAACCGGTTCTTGAGTTATCCTCCTTTGAAAATTTTTCAACAAATGATCCTGCAGTTCCAGAACAAGCCACTAGGGGATCCAAACTCATGTCACTTCTTCCCTATCCCGAGAGCTATCTGCCATCCAAAATTCGTGACCCTAGCATGTCCAGATCACGAGATATCAAAACCCGAAGTTCTGCTGCAGTACCTAGGAAAGCCGCCAGGGGGCCCAAAATCTAATCATTTCTAGGTCTCATGAAGACCTACCCACCTACCAAGTTTCATTTCAATCCATTTACTGCTTCTCGAGTTATCTTGCTAAACCACACACACACACACACACACATACCCACAGACAAACGCTACTGAAAACATAACCTTCTTGGCGAAGGTAACAATGAATTTTGAACTTTTAATGATACCACTGCATTGAAAGATGGAATACATGTAACTGTAACATGCAACTAGGAAGAAAAGGACTGTTTTCAACTGTTCAGGGCAAAATGGCAAAATATGAGCATTTTGCAGTTGATTCTGATTTTGAAGTGGGAGAATCCATTAACCAAGAAATTAAATTGGTGTGGCCCTATGTATAATTGTCTTCTGAACATAGACTAAGCCCTGACCTTTCTCGTGGATTTTTGACATTTCCACCATGAATCTTGAGCTAAACTTGGTAGCTTACCCCACTAGTCATAAATTCCAGGGAAGATTTAGTTTCCAGGTTGCAGACTACAATGTAAGTCCTGACATTTGTGCTGGATACAAAATATTTCCATCATGCTAAGCTCGAGTTGCTAGCTTCTCTGTTACTGTCAAAGCTCACAAGTCAGGGCTCAAAATACCACCTGTATATGCAACTTAGTGCAGGAAAAATCAGAGTAATGTGGGTACTAGTAACATTACACGTATTTCTGATGTGTACCTGCTATAACATGCACCTGAAAGTAATGCACTTGGTATGTAACTTGTATTTTGGCTTCTTTTTGCTGTGTTGTTACCCGCGTGTGAACTCTTATGGTTACTCATTTGCATACAGCTTTCAATTTGATCCATATCTGTTGCCAACATCATGAACTGAGGTATGATTTGTCTGGGTAAAAAAGTATTTTGAACCCTGCACTTGAAGAAAGCATGTAAGAACTAGAAACTTTAAGATAATGTTTACCTTCACATAATATATATATATAATTGGTCTGCTCTGATAATTCTTACATACTGTATATGTTCAGACTGTCAGGAGTCTAAATCCCTCCTGCTATAAAATTGCAACATGATGTAAACACTAGTTACCATTGTGACAGACGTCTGGTCCAGGTCATTGACCTTATTGGTTTGGAGAAAAAGAAGAAGAAGAGGAAACAGAAAAAACTATATGTTTTCCTTTGGTAAACATAATGATCATGGTTTTTTGTTGTGTTGTAGGCTGCAAGAGATGGAGATGAAGAGGTCATGATGAAGATACTGAGCCGCTTTTCCGGCAACGCCAAACGGAGGAAAATCAACGAACTGGACGAGGAGAAGCTGTGTCCGCTACACTACGCAGCCAGGAACAACGACTACCAAATGGTCAAACTGTTGGTGGAAAATGGAGCAAGTAAGTTTATGCAATACAGTCAATCTTGTACAAGTGATGACCACTTCTACGTAAGGACTGCCTGGCCCAATATGACAACTTTCACGTGTTCCCTTTGATAGATTTTTCCCAGTGACATCAAGAATCATGTCTGCGACTACAATAAGGCTATACCAATTTGACTTGTTGGTTCTTGAATTTTTTCACTCGAAAAATATGAAGCGAATTCCTTCAACTGTTCGGGCCAAAATATGAGCATTTTGGAGTTGATTCAGATCAGAGGCCAAATTGAATATCTTTTATTTTCTTTGCAAATCAAAAAAAAAAGAAATGAAGTGGGCGAATCCATGAACCAAATAATTAAATTGGTGTAGCCTAAGACTAGATTTCATTGGTCCCCTGAGTGGTCACCTTGGCCAGGTTTAATTTGTTGACTGTGTTTGTGTGTTGTGGGCTTGGTCAGTTGAACCTTTAACATCTATAAGACAACAAGTCAAGTACTTCCTGATCTAGAAGAATTACATAGATTATAAGATATGTAAAAATAAGATTATAAAATCAATTTCTGTTGAGGTCTACCCTAACTAAAGAAAACAGAAATGAATAATTTTGTTTCCATTGTTCTCAGACATTTCCAACTAAAGGGTTTGCAAATGAACAACACAGAACAGAAGATATAAATTACTGGTAATATGTAGTTCCCTCATGTGTATCCTTTCTTCCTATCCTTCAGATGTGAATCGTAAAGGAGAAGATGACACCAGAGCGATCCACTTTGCCGCTCGCTTCAGGAAATTGAAAAGGGAGCAGTCAGAGGAGCAGGTATGTGTTATCTGTACCTGTATAGCTGCCATAACCACCCTTTGGCATAACACACCAGCTTCACAGGCACACAGCCTGGCGGCAGCTAGCTATATCACATAGAACGACCTGTTACACACAATCTTTGCATACCTAATTGCAGGAGTTGTTTAAAGCTACATGTATCTAATAATGATGCCCCAACTGTACTTTGGTGGCAACGAGTTCCACGCAACGATTGTTTTTGAAACCTCAATTCTTGGTTGATAACTCTGGTATTTGAAGGCATGACTATTTCTTGTTCTTTTCTAAAGAGCTGGTATTAGATGGAATTTTAAGTTATCATGAATTATCACCTGAAAATATTGTAAAATCTAGCTTACTAGTACACAATAACCTTTGAAGGACTGTTCTAGTCATTTAGTGAAAGTTTAAAGTAGGGAACTTAGTCATAAACACAGTTATGTCTTATACTACAGTGACATATACCTACATTGTATCTGTGACTCTCACTATATATCCCTGTTGGTAGCTTAAAGAAAAAAAATGAGGAAAACTGTTTTTGACGTCTTTTCTTTCACTTCCAACACTTACATGTAGGTTACAGAATTGGGACTTACCCAAATTTTCGGTTGACTCCATCAACCTTGTTCACGGAATGGACCCGTCTACTCTTGGAACGTGATGCCAGAGACACGTGACTGTAGTAGCAGGTCATACATGCCAGATAACTTGTGTAGCCCCCCGTCTCTGTTCAGGGTAGGTCTGTGAGCTCTTATGACACAAGTTATCTGGCACGTATGACCTGCTACTAGTGACGGTACTACGGTCATGTGTCTCTGACGTCACGTTCCAAGAGTAGACGGGTCCATTGCGTGAACAAGGTTGATGGAATGAAAGCTCATCTGTGTTGGTAGAATACATAGTTAAAGAGTTTGACTTGTTCCAACACAATAAGGAGAACTCACCATAAATTTTCGGCTGATCCCGTCAACCTTCGTCAGATTTGTGATGCAATCGCTGACTTTCCGGAAGTCGGAAACGTGATGACGTGAAGGAGGCAGTTTACATCAGGGCCCACCAACCCTCTCTGAACCGTGATGGTGGGAGATACCGTCTTCCCGCCACTTTTGATGCACTCCTGACGTCATCACGTTTCCGACTTCCGGAAAGTCAGCGATTGCATCACAAATCTGACGAAGGTTGACGGGATCAGCCGAAAATTTATGGTGAGTTCTCCTTATTGTGTTGGAACAAGTCAAACTCTTTAACTAAGGTTGATGGAGTCAACCGAAAATTTGGGTAAGTCCCAATTCTGTAATCTAAGTGTTGGAAGTTAAAGCTTAGTCTTTCTTTCATAATGACTTGTACCAACACAGATGAACTTTCCTGCTAAGTCTTTTCTTATTATACAGATCAATGAAGCAGCGTTGACTCAGCAGAACAGTGTGATCCAGTACCTGGTGTCGCAGGGCGTACACGTGAATGAGAAGGACTACTACGGGCAGACGGCGCTCCACTTCGCCTGTATCAGGGACAACGTGACCGCGGCACAAGACCTGCTGCGCTGTGAAGGAATAAACGTGGAGGTAAGGCCACACCAATTTAATTTCTTGGTTAACGGATTTTTCTAGAAAAATAATGGAGCGGGCGGGCGAAAAAATAAAAATAAAAACAGGCCTAGGCATCCTATTATGGCCCAAAATGGTACGATAGGAGCCATGAAGTCAACACATCAGGCTGGTTCAAAATTTAAACAATGAATTTTGAACTTTTAATGATACCACTGCATTGAAAGATGGAATAACTGTAACAACTAGGAAGAAAAGTACTGTTTTAAACTGTTCAGGGCAAAATATGTGCATTTTGCAGTTGATTCTGAATTTTTTTTTTTTGCAAATCAGAAAAAAATGAAGCGGGCGAATCTGTTAACAAGAAATTAAATTGGTGTGGCCTAACATAAAAAATAGATTGGTCTTGTACTTGTAGTGTTTTTGTTTATAGTTGTTGTCAAGCATTGTACAAGAAATTAATTGTATCCATTTTTTGTTGTGTAAAAAGATACCACTGTTCAATATATTAACTTGTAATTTTTTACTGCAGTTTTTTTACTTTTTATACTAATTTTTTCCTACCAATTTTATTGGCAACTTGTAATTTTTACTGCAGTTTTTTTTTCCTTTTTTGATACTAATTTTTTCCTACCAATTTTATTCTCAATAAACCAATCAATCAATCAATGTCAACATTTTTCCCCAGGCCAAAGACAAACAGGAGATGACGGCCCTCCATCTCTGCGCCATTCACGAGTCTAACGAGATCGGCGCGTTGTTGATCTCCGCCGGAGCGAACCTGCGTGCGTGTGAGGAGGAACTGCTCACACCCCTGCACTTCGCCTGCCAGTCGGGTAACCTGGAGCTGGCACAGATGTTGTTCACTGCTGCAGAGAAGTTAGACGGATGGGTGACCATTTCTCAGGTTTGTTGTCATGAAGCATTAAATTAATAAATAAATGTTTATTATGAAACCAGGACAAGAAAGATTAATAAAGTTCTATAGACCAGACCTGTGTCTTACCTGTAATGTGAAATTTAAGTGATTTTTTTCTTTTATAAGTAAATATGCACATAGTTCTGTTTTACCTTTCATGATTTTCCAGAAGTAAGTTTACTAAGCAGAACACAATCATTCAAGCCAACCATTCGGGATTGAAGTACTAAGTCAGTACTGTTTGGGCATGTTTCGGGCTCAAATTTGACACAAATTTAACTCAAAATCGGCTTCAATTTGCAAAGAAATTGTAAGGGTAGGCGTGACCTAAATCTGATCAGAGTGCTCATGAATGTCAGCCGAACCTAGTTGGCTGGTGTTCGGGAATAAATTCAGAGGATTTTGGTGAATGTGTGACAGGGGCTAATGGCATTCTCCTTTCCTCCCTGCTTGTGCACTAGGTGTTGTTTTTCTTCTGTTTCTTCTTCTTCTTTCCAAACAAATAAGGTCAATGACCTGAACCAGATGTCTGTCACCATGGTAACTAGTGTCGGGTTACATCATGTTGCAATTTTATAGTAGGAGGGATTTAGACTCCTGTCACCATATATTACATATGGATGTGGCATTCTCCCTTCCTCCCTGTTTGTGCACTACATGTAGATGGTGACAGACCAGGACAATGATGAGAACACCTGTCTCCACATGGCTGTGGACAATGGACACCTGGAGCTGGTACAACTCTGTCTGGAGAAAGGTAAATATGCTCATGCTTCATGCAGGGGTCTAGTGCAGTTTGTATCATTTTACCAGTAGTTATTAGGCTAGGACCCAGTTGCAAACATTGTGTGATCGTTGTGTAATTGCAATAGAATAACAATGTATAGAAATGTTGTACAAGTTCTACAAGGCCACACCAAGTTAATCAATTAGTTTTCGAATTTGAATGCTTTTTAAGCTCCTCCAAGTTGTTACAGTTTTTACCTCCGGGGAAGGAGATATCCTTCCGCGAGGAGGTTTTACTATTGTTCGAAACATTTCTGTCAGCAGCTGTTTCTCGCGATCGGCTGGACGGATTGGTCTGTTGTTCGGTATACGTATTGCTGTTGGGCTGCAGATGATGCAGAACGTTTTTGTTTAATTGCATATGTGTTTATGGGCGTCAAAATAAAAGGTTTTTAAGTGCTCCGGACACCCCCGTTATGCTGAAAATGGAATTTACCATGTTGTTAAGGAATGGGGAGGTTTCAGTTTTGGGTCTTACCATTCAAAAGGGGTCAAACAGAGGGGTGTCTGGTTCCGATAAAAACGTTGGGTGACGGCGCAGCAATGACGGCGCGGGATGACGGCGGGGGTAATGGCGCGGGTGACGCTGAACGCTGGGTGCAAGCCGAGTCAGCGCTAGATCTTCGTGTCGCGGCATTTATTTCCAGAAATACGGCAATACACGTCAATTTATTTCAAGTACGGCGCGCAGCTAGCATGGCAGCAGCCAGCAGAAGCGGTGGGCGGGCGGTATGCAAATCTTGCATGACGTATCCGCGTTACGCGTCTCTGATTGGTTGTTCGCTTCAGCTGAGATCGCCGGGCGGCAACATGAGGGGCGCGGGGACGCGATTTTTCTGTTTGAAAATATGCACTAAACGCTGTTTTCCAGGACTGCATAGCCACATCTAGTGAAAAAGTGCACAATTAATATAAATTTGGGGGGAAATATTTGTTTCTTTGTCGATTTATGGTGTCGATTTATGGAACCCGGAAGTGCAGCCGAGACCAGCGCGCAGCGTAGACCAGCGTGGCAGTTTGACGTGTACGATCAAAACATAAACAAAACTCCCGCGTTTTTAAGTGCTCCGGACACCCCCGTTATGCTGAAAATGGAATTTACCATGTTGTTAAGGAATGGGGAGGTTTCAGTTTTGGGTCTTACCATTCAAAAGGGGTCAAACAGAGGGGTGTCTGGTTCCGATAAAAACGTTGGGTGACGGCGCAGCAATGACGGTGCGGGATGACGGCGGGGGTAATGGCGCGGGTGACGCTGAACGCTGGGTGCAAGCCGAGTCAGCGCTAGATCTTCGTGTCGCGGCATTTATTTCCAGAAATACGGCAATACACGTCAATTTATTTCAAGTACGGCGCGCAGCTAGCATGGCAGCAGCCAGCAGAAGCGGTGGGCGGGCGGTATGCAAATCTTGCATGACGTATCCGCGTTACGCGTCTCTGATTGGTTGTTCGCTTCAGCTGAGATCGCCGGGCGGCAACATGAGGGGCGCGGGGACGCGATTTTTCTGTTTGAAAATATGCACTAAACGCTGTTTTCCAGGACTGCGTAGCCACATCTAGTGAAAAAGTGCACAATTAATATAAATTTGGGGGGAAATATTTGTTTCTTTGTCGATTTATGGTGTCGATTTATGGAACCCGGAAGTGCAGCCGAGACCAGCGCGCAGCGTAGACCAGCGTGGCAGTTTGACGTGTACGATCAAAACATAAACAAAACTCCCGCTGAAGAAGGGAAATTATCCTGTATGTATGCATTTCAGATCCCAGTGACTATGTTTACGATGGGAATAATTGTGGATACGCACGATGCGCACGATAAGCCTCAGAAATTTATGTCGCAAGTGGGGCATTCTATAGGCTTGCACGGCCAATGTCTGGCACGCTACGCGGCGTACGTACACTGCTGCACATCACAGCCAGCGATTCAAGAGTTTGCAAGAATTCTAGGAATTGCACACTCAGGCATTTTTTTCCACAGGCATGGCATGTCTACAGGCATGTTGATGGCACACTTTTATGGACACATTCCTACGTAGTCCTAAATTCTTGCCCACATACCCAAATGCCTTTCAAGTGGAAGTTTTACATTCTTCCCACATTTCTTCCCACATGCCTTCCAAGTGGATGTCTTAGCATTCCAAGTGGAAGTCCTACATTCTTGCTCACATTCCTGTCCCACATGCCTGCCAAGTGAATGAACTACAAACTCCTAAGGCATTTTAGAATTACTTCTGTGAGTACAGTCGATAGTGATCAGATGTGCTGTTGTAGTACCAGGTAGCCGCTTGTGTTGAGTGTCCGTTGGATAGGTAAGTTTGCCATATACATTATCTATGTCTAGTTGTCAAGGTCGTGATTTGGAGTTACTAGTAGTTTTTTTTTTAAGTTGCCAACACTAGTCAAAGAAGTTGCCAACACTAGTCAAAGTGTGCATCTGTTATGACAATAGACAATAGCATTTTAAGGAGGGCCCCGCATGCCCATTTTCCGTAGAGTGTAATTGACTGTTTTAATTCTACGACTGTAACCGGACCGATCTATTAACGCGTGTCCTGGATGGTAAGTTTGCCATGTTCAATGATGAATCCTATGATGAATTCTACGTAAGTCAGCACAAGACGTAGACTTTAATAAATGTATCTTAAATGTTGATATAATTTATAGAGACCATGCGCGTTTTTTTGTGTAAATACTACAGTACTCTACTGGAATTTGGAAAATGACCCACGCTGTCTTTCCACCAAGCTTCTATTGAGTCGCATGGTTGGGATACATTCAAGTTGATATTTATGAGTTCAAAAAAATCGGCGAGTACAATATTATCATGTGACCCGTTTCTAGCAAACTAGCGCATTTGAAGCTTGCGTTGTGTACAGACTATTACACATATTAGATGTTTTGTGCTACCGTTTTACAAGAAGTTCTAAATATAACAACTCTTCATGAATGGAAAGGATTGTTCATATAAATTTCTATTTCATTACAAATTCAAACTGTTGACACGGAGATCAGTTCGCTAAGATAGGTATATCGCGAAGTTAACTCCTCGCGAACATAAATGCACTTACATATATGTTGTACACATCAGAGGTTGACATTGATAGGTTGTTGACGTTGGTTGGCATAACCAAATATATTGACTAGATCAATTTTGTTATAGGACAAGGTAGAAGTACACATGTATTTTAGAGTTTTTTTTGTGCATGCAGTCCTAAGTATGCCGTAAAATTAATCATGTATGATATATGACAATACATCTGCATACTATCTACACAAGAGATTTGTACTTCGACACAGGTGTTTTATACGGCTTTATTTAGCCTTAAATGGATTTTCTGTTACATTACCTTAAGTTTGCCTGGCCATAGGGTGCTTGCGGAAGGCCTCCGGTTAGAAAAAATACCACCCAAAAACGACAACTGCAAGGGGTCATTCGCACCTTCTGCCATGTGATGACTTTTTGAAAACTAGTAGAAGGGAAACCTTTTTTTCAGGCCCAAGATCATCAGTTTTGGCTTGCACAATAATTCCTCTCCGGCTGTCACACATTCCTATGTGAACTATTTCCGCCCAGAACGTTGGTCCTCTGCGTGCCCAGTTCCATTTTCTTAGCAACCTCAGCAATATATCCTGTAACTGTCAAGTCCAGTCCGTGAAACGCGGGTGGTCGTCTTTAAATTGTAGGTTACTCAGATGTGTTGTTGCCATTTACGATTTAAGCGCTTAGTGGTGGTGTGGTTTCTCTTGATGAGAACAACGACGTTTCATTCGGAAGCTGTTCGATTTGGAACAACGTGGAATTTGTACAATGCCTGCCCTTCGTCATGCGCTGAAAACCGGTGGGACATATAGTGGTATGGTTGCTATGTCTGCATTCTTAACATGCGCTGTAAACCCTAGGGATTTGTGGCATGTCGTCAATGCCTGTCTGCACATGCGCTGAAGTCTTATGGATGTCCTACTTTCTGGCCCTCATTCCCACATGTCTTCCAAGTGGATGTTTTACATTCTTGCCATTCCCAAATGCCTTCCAAGTGGAAGTTTTACATTCTTGCTTCCATGCATTCGCACATGCCTTACAACATTCCTTCCAAGTGGAAGTCTTCAAGCCTTCCAAGTGGAAGTCCTACATTTTTGCTCACATTCCTTTCCCACATGCCTTCCAGGTGAATAAACTACAACCTCTAAAGACATTTTAGAATTACTTCTGTGAGTAAAGTCGATCACATTGTAAATCTGAACATGTTGGGGAAATGCTGAGAAGGAGACTTACAGATATGCACTGATGATGTCTTCGAAGCTTCTACAGTTTTCAAAAGAGAAGTCAAACCCTTCAGACATAGTTTTAGACATAGCTACAATTTTAGACAACTACCTTTCATCATGTTATTTTATATACTGTTCTTCAATGTCCTTTTATGTTTGTAACTGACAATTAGCCTCTGGGCATGAATTTGCAATAAACTTGTCAATTATTATAATAGAAGAGAAAGATATCATAATAATAGTACCTGTTTAAATGCAGCAGAGCTCAGAAGACTGTCGGTACAGATTCACAAGAATTTTTAGTCTTGTGAATCTGTACCGACTTCATGAACATCGTGGGAGTCTTGTCAATCTGTACAATTTCCACAATGTCCCAAGGGTTTCCTGGAATTTCACTAGGTAGGAATTGTATGTCAAGTGTATGTCCCACATTCTGGCCACATTCCTCACATGCCGTACCCAGTGAATGGTTAGCATTTTGTCCACAGGCATGCGGAATGGCATGCGGAATGTCCACAGGCATTTCTCTGCCCACATTCCTAGAAACCCTTGGGAAGATCTGTCTGCCCCATGGCCCTGCTTTCTGTGACCCCGGGGCTTGTTCACTATACACTCAGGGGGGGAGTGCACTGTATCTGTCTAGACTTAACAGGTACCATCATGGCAGTGTCATGGCAGTGCCATGCAAACAATAACCCTAACAGCAACCACCGTCGCCATGGCAATGTATGTTTTCATTGCCAGTCTTGTTAACATCAGTATAACAATATTTTTAAGCATATGTGATCAAATTTCTGTAAAAAAAATTTGCACAATTGTAAACATAAAACATGAATACAATGTAGATCGCTGCTATACTGGGCGTACCATTTCGCGTACATGGCCGGCTGCCCGGCGCAAATACTGTCCCGATTTTTCTCAGTAGAAAACCAGAATAAATCACGCACCCGTAATTTGGCTTCGACCCAGAGCTCCTACTTCAGAGTTGAAACCTCAAAAATAGTAACTTTATTAGAGCATGGAGGTATTATACCTCTATGATTGGAAGAAATATAGTATTGCGACACGTGCATAGAATTTGACAAATGGGGGGGGGGGCGCGCTACCTAAAATTCTGCTGCGCTACCTAGTTTTTGCCCTAGGTAGCACACTGTGCTACTTTGCTCAAAAAAGTATTTCGAACACTGCGTTAATCAACAGTCCATACCGAACCAACCGTCAGTAGCCATCAAACCGGCATACAAACATATTACGCACATAACTTTCATACTACACACTAACAAATAACCTAAACCAGTAGAAAAAAAAACCCGGAGGTTTGAAATCTACGATTTACCTTGTTCCATCTATCAATGCAGTGGTTTGATAAAAAAAGTTTCAATTTCATTTTTCAAATTGCAAACCAGCTCAGTGTATTGACTTCATGGCTCCTATCATAGCTTTTGGGGCTATAATACCTTTGGCTGTTCAAAAAAAAAAATTTTCACCCTGTCACTTCAACTTTTTTCTAAAAAAAATCCAAGAACCAACAAATCAAATTGGGGTGGCCTAATATGATGATACCGTTACACTACCTCCATAGGTGCTGATGTGAACAGACCGCGGACAAACTTTGCCACGCCGCTCCATCTGGCCTGCGTGTCGGGAAACCTGGACATCGTCAAGCTTCTCCTGGAGCACAACGCTCGCTCCAACGCCCTCAACATCAGCCAGGAGGCACCGATTCACAAGGCAGCCAGCTACAACCATGCACACGTCGTCAAGTACCTGCTGGAGAAGTGAGTTACAAAATGGCTTGACAAGAAAAACTTACAAAAAGCGTACGGTAGTTTTGTGTAGAAAGGAAAAGGGCTTAATATGCTTAATCTACATTTTACATCCTGATACATGTATGTTTCAATGCAATGGTTGTGTGTGTGAAAAGAAAGAAATATGTGAAGAAAGACATTCAAAACAGCATCTCAGGTACAAGACATTTTTTTTTTGCAAAATGCACTTTGTGTTAAATACATGTACATGTGGAAAACAACAACAAGCTATTATGATACATTGTGCACAAAAAGTGAGGTAATGGGAGAACAAAAATTAAGTTTACTTAATGGTTTTGAAAACATAAAGGTTGAGTTTATTATGTTTACCGAAGGAAAACATCTTGTTTTTCCTCTATTTCTTCTTTCTTCTCCTAACAAATAAGGTCAAAGACCTGAACCAGACGTCTGTCACCATGGTAACTAGTGTTGGAATTTTATAGCAGGAGGGATTTAGACTCCTGTCACCATATATATGAATGTGTTTGAGTAACTAACAGAGCAGACTATATGAGAAGGTAAACATTATGCATTTGCTTTACAAATGTTACCTTTCTAAGTGAATGTATTGTTTTCACTCCAAGGGGAGCCCAGATTGACAGGAGGGAGAAGGACAACTTCACTCCTCTCCTCCTGGCAGCTTCAGAGGGCCACGTGGAGACTATCCAGATGTTGTTGGACAACAACGCTAACATCGCCGCTGTGGACAAGTACGACAAGACAGCCCTGTACTGGGCTGCACAGGAGGACAGGCTGGACGCTCTACAGGTACAACTGCCATAATTACCTTCGACAAGAAGGTTATGTTTTAGTGGCCGTGTGTGTGTGTGTGCGTGTGTGTGTGTGTGTGTGTGTGTGTGTGTGTGTGTAATGTTCAATCATATTCATATTTTGCATGTGGGTAGAAATTGGTGAGAGGAAGACACAATTAGATTTTTTGGGCCCCCCACCCCTAGCAACTTTCCTTTGTACTGCAGCAGAGATCATGGAAAGTCTATTTACATGTATTTCTATTGAGATCTTGGAAGATTTCTATACCTAAATATGATTTTATGTGAAAATGTGAGAAAATCTTACTGATAATGGTAGTGGCTTCAGATTGCTCTGACATTGATGGTCCTCTAAGTATATGATGGGCGCATATGATTCTTTCTGGTGTGGAAGTATTGTTTTGGGTGGCTGAGTTGCGGGTTTGTGTGTCTGTAGGTCTGTATAGTAGGTTGACAGCACATGCGTGGGAAAGATTGACAGGCAGAATGACAGCTCAAAAGGTCAGGCACAGGAAACGGGGTGAATGGAAAACCATGAAAACCCAAAATACTTCTTAGAAGACTGAAGCCTACAATTTTTTTCTGTACTGAAACATTGACACAATAAAAAAACGTAGTGAAACCTGATGAAAAACCCTGTCTGTGTCTGCGTTGTTGATGTGTTACTGTTACTGTTGCAGGTCCTACTGGAACACCCCCTGGCCATGTCCCTGTTGGAAGAGTCTGACCGCTACGACAACACCCCCCTGCACATCTCAGCTGAGAAGGGGTACCTTGGATGTGTTAAGGTACAGACATCAGGTTTAACATTGTCGATGGCTTATATTGTACAATCAATCCATTATCACTTCCAGGTATTGAAGTTCATGTATTGTTTTGGGTGGCTGAGCTGTGGATTTGTGTATCTATACTACTGGTCTTTGTCTGGACAGAGTATACATGTAGGTTGATAGCATGTGGGTTGGGGAAGATTTACAGGCATAATGACAGCAGGTCAGACACAGGAAATGGCTCTTGCCAGGAGCTATCAGGTCTTCCTGGTTGTCTGAAATCTCTGATTTCTTGTTTTTAGCAAGAAATGCCTCCAGTTTGTGGTGACAACTGGCTACTGCCTTCTTGAAATAAAAGCCCTTAGATCTAATTTCAATCTGTATTGTCCAGGCCTTGCTGGACAAGGGTGCATTCATCGATACCAAAAATGAAGAAGAGCAGATGGCGCTTCACCTTGCAGCTAAGAGTGGCAGGACTAAGTAAGTATGTTTGGAAAATTTACAAGAAAATGCAGAAACCACACATTCAATTGTTTGTCATTTTCAGTACCTGTATTCTAAGTTTGTATGAAAAAAAGTAATGAAGGTATCCCCAATTTTCCTTGTCAGGGTGGTTCGAGAACTGGTCAAGAGAGACAAGACCATTATCAATGGTGAGGACGAGAACTCTTGCACCCCGCTGCACCTGGCATCCATCGCAGGACATACCAAAGTGGTGCAGGTGCTGCTGGAGGCAGGTGCTAACATCGAGGCCAGGTGCGCAGCTCTAAGAGCTCCATGAAATGTTTAAATCTCGTGTGATGGTGACTGTCTTCTTCGCATTCACCATGGTGTCTACAAGTCTGTCTTTATCGTGCAAGGCAAGCAATACCAGCCATCAGCTGTCAAGGAGGTCATGTAACTAAAAACAACTTACTATGTCCTGCTTTGCCATGTTACAAATGTACATGAAGAATATTTACCTTCGCCAAGAAGGTTATGTTTTCAGAAGCGTTCGTGTGTGTGTCTGTCTGTAAACACGATAACTCGAGAAGGCTTAAATGGATTGTCTTCATACTTGGTAGGTGGGTACAATGTAGGTCTTCATGAGACCTAAAAATGATTAGATTTTGGGTCCCCTGGTGGCTTGTTATGGTACTGCAGTGGAACTTCCGGTTTTGATATCTCATGATCTGGACTTGCTAGGGTCACGAAATTTAGATGTTCTTGTGCCGGAGAAGAAGTGATGTAGGTTTGGGGCCCCCCTAGCAGCTTGCTCTGGAACTGCAGGGGCGTTTCTTTTGAAATATTCAAAAGAGGATAACTCAAGAACCGGTTGACCGTTTACTTTGTCAGTCATAAAGATAAACATCATTTGGCAAAGGTATGAGATCGTGGAACTGTAGTTTGTACATGTTATAGTGTGCTTCTTAGTTTGCTTTGCATAGCTGATTGCCGTTGGGTATAACACACCAGTTTTGTACAGTAAGTACAAGCTGCGTAAGACAGGAATAGAGGTCTTCATGCATATAACAGTGCCCTGTACTAACAGGAACACCAACGGCTGGACCCCACTCGACTGTGCAGCAGCCGAGGGATGGACCAAGACTGCCATGGCCCTTCTTGACGACGACTCACCAGTCGACCCTACTGACAAGGCCAAGGCACGTAGACTAGTTGCATAACAGTTTGCTATTTCATAACTTGTAATTTTGCCAAACTTCTTTCATTCTTCCTCTATGCTCCAGTAAATGGCTGGACCACTCTAACTTAGATCTGACACTTACTAGGACAGTTAAACTTTTGGGAAAGATGGCTCATGGCAGTCAAAGTACTTGAGATATTTTGCTGAAAGTTGACAAGTTGTTTCTTTCACCAAAGTTGGTCCAACAAAGTTTGGTAGTGTGTGTGTGTGTGTAAGTTTCATAACTCAAGAAGGCTTAGATGGATAGTCTTAATATAAATTAATTTTATTAAGTGGATAGGACTTGATGAGACCTTAAAATTATTTGATTTTTGCCTTCCAGGTAGTTTATTATGGTACTGCATCAGAACTTGATACATGCATTGTGGTTTTGATATCAATACCTTTATTGTACATTCATGCCATGACAGGCTAGGTACAGGTCAAGACTTAACAGACAAATAACAGAATGTATGTAGAAAAGTGGAGACAAAAGATACACTACTTGACTTAGACATACATACATAAGGAACATGCAAGGGTATTATACTAGGATAATACAAAGTGTTCTAGTTACTGAGCTAAGACAGAGTGTTCAACTTCTTCTCGCTTTTTTGTACAATGGTAAATGTGGGTATGTTGTGATCTGGACATGAATTTTGCACAAATTTTGCACAGTTCTTCCTGTAAGCCGTGGTCCAGTCTAACGTGTTTATGACATTCTCTAGACGACCCCGCTGCACCTGGCGTCGTCCCGCGGCCATGTGGAGATGGTGGAACTCCTGCTGAAGTGGAACGCAAACCTCGCCCTGAAGAACGACGCTGGGCTCAACTGTCTGGACCTGGCCATAGACAACGGCCATAAGTACGTAGTACATGACTCATTTCTCTATTAACCACTGGTGCCCCAATTAGCATAAGAAAGCATAACTCTTGTGCATGTACATGTATATCATTCAAGTCCATATATGTTTAGAAGGTAAAGAAATGGCATCGTGTGGCGTAACGGTTGAGTGTTTGGCTCAGACCCAAGAGGTCCCAGGTTCGAATCCTACCCAATGACACCTACAGTATCTTGTGCACTTGGGAATGGCACTTTACACGACTTTCCTCACTTCACTCAGGTGTAAATGAGTACCTAGCTTCGGTTAGGGACGTCCCTCGGATTGGACGTTAAATGGAGGTCCCATGTTTGGGAAGAGCCACACCCCACACACGTTAAAGAACCCACCACACTTATCGAAAAGAGTAGGGGACCTTCCTGGTTTGAGTGGTTCAAACCTCACAGTCCGGTCTTACACAGCTTGTACTTACATGTACAAAACTGGTGTATTACACCTAAAAAAGTTATGTGAATACAAACAAAATGGAAGCTAAAGTGGTATGGCCAAGTGTCATGGTCTCAGGAGGAGCCCAATCATGCAAATAACAATCCGGGGAGGAAGAGAGGAAAAGATTGGAGGAGGATATCAGAGAATGGACCAGTGAAATGGAAAAAAAGCAAAAACGAGAAGGATGGAGAAAACTGTGGTACCCCATCAGTACGTGGTCTACATATGAGATGAGATGAAAAATAATATCATGTGCAGTTTACTAACTATTTATAATCGGTTCTAGGGACGTGGCAGCAGCTATTGTCAACGATGAGAACTGGGAGATGGCAATGCGGAACAAAACAACTGATCACTCAGGGATGGCGACCACGCCGATGAGAAAACTCATCAGGAAGATGCCATGTGAGTGTTTGATCTGTGTCTTCTATAGTCATAGCAGCCAAGATATATTATATATCCAGTTATACCAGGCTTCTGGTAATCATTAGAACTATGTACAGGAGTAATGTACAGTACAATATTTGTTTTGGCCAGCTGGGAGACCTGAGATAAAAAGAAATGAGTTTGATGAATTCCCAGATTTATTTTGTAAAGATCTGACCAGCATTGGATACAGCTGTTAAAGTTGTTACTTTCCCCCAATCAGTGAGCTCACTAAGACCAGATTGACATGCAGGCAAAAACTTCACGATATACATTATGTAAAAATATGTTTGCAGATTGTATGTTACCTCGAGGGCTGGCAGCATTACGATAGTTGTGCAACTCAAAACAACTACATGTAATTTTAACATCATGACATCATGTAAACATTCAACAAGAACAGCCACATATAGAATATAGAAGTCAGTTGAATTTTGAAACTGCAAGGAACAAATTTGAGCTAAACTAAACTTTGCAAGATATGCTAGATATATTGAGACATTGATTTTTTTTCTTTTGCACAGCTGTTGCTGAGCTTGTCTTCAACAAGTGTACCACATCCAATGGTCTCAATCCTGAACACAGGAAGTATGAGGTACATAATACTGTTGTTACACAGTAATTCCTGTTTTTTTTCGCAGTACTTTATATTCACATTTTTTGTGGTCACTTCTGTACCTGACAATGTTACAACGTCTTTATTGGTTTACCACAAACTTTCATTGCCATTAAGAAATGATTTGCTAATTTTCTTTTTTTTCTGCTCCTGCGACCACAATGACATATACTTCAGATCGCAACATTTTGCTACCATGAACATAAAGTGAATTGCAGTTATAATAGAACTTACATCATCTTTGGTTTAGTTGTAACAGTGGGGGATGAACTGGCGCCCGGGTTTCGGCATGGGTTTGATTCCCAGCCCGGGGCCAGGGGTGTCTTTCTGTTTCAACTTGCCTCTTGTTTCATAGTTTGAATGTTCGAATCCCCCAATTAATGTGGTCCTTCCTTTTGCATTAGATAGACATTTTAAGTTTAACACTTGAGCGTTGGTTAGGAAATCTCTCACGATTGTTTTTTTCTCCAACGTTTTATTTCAGATCACGTTTAACTATGAGTTTCTGGACGACATGTACGCGCCGTGGCTACAGGACATGGACAGCGAGAAGATGTCCATCCTGAGCGGAGAGAGTAACGAGATCTACGACAAGGAACACTTCCTGAAAGAGGACGTGCAGGCGTATACCACCGACTCAAATGTTCTGAAGAAGAACCACCCTCTACAGATCATGGTAAGACAGGGCTCGAAATACTGGGTGCATGCATATGTGCACCTTAGTGCACCCAACTTTGGAGCTGTGCACCCAATTTTTTTCTGTGGGTGCACTGGTGCACCCAAATATTTTGGTATGTATTTTTGTACATATTAAATGTATAATAGTATACAGGATATTCTTGGCATCTGAGTGTCAGAAAAATAATAAATATTTGTTGTAGTACTTGTTTAAGATTTTGAAGTTAGCTCCGATTCAAGCTCAGAAGAGGAGCAGTAAGATTTATAATTATATTTCAGTCCATACCATGGTATGGATGAAATATATTGTGTTCTCTCATGTTTCTTCTCCTCCTTCTCCTCCTTCTCCTGCCAAACAGTCAAAGGGATTCAACTCCGCCATCATTCAGCCAAATGACATGAAATTTGGCATGGAGGTAGAGTGGGCCAATACCCCCAGGCGTTTTTTTTCATTTTTTTGATACATGCCTTTGAAACATTTTTATGAAGGTTTTTTGGGGCATTTTTCGCCAAAAAATGGATTTTTGGATCCTGAGCCCTGGTTTTACAACCAAATGATCTGAAATTCGGTATAAGGGTACTTGAACATGTGTCTACAGAATAGCAGTCACATATTTGGCATACACCACTTCCAAATGACTTATTTGGGGGACTTTAATGGCTATTTTCAGCATAAAAAGGGCCAAAAGTGCTATACCCGTTCCATGTTCTATCTAAAGAATGGCCCGTTCCATCTGCCGTTGGCCATGGAACACGTGTTCCATTGCGGGTTACCTGGGGTCACATTGCACGTAAGTCGTGCGTAATGACCCACGCATTCAATTTTATGTGCCTAAGACCTTCAAAATGTATCAAATCTCATCATTGTTAGTATTTGCATACCTGTAATAAGATTAGTAAAGCTTTCGAGATTCAATGGGCTTGTTCTTGCATCTTTGTTCTCAATTACATAGCTACTATATAATTCATTTATTTGAGAATCTTTGCCAGTTTTACACTGAGGTAAGTTTGGAATAGTCCACTTTTGCGTGGGAGGGAGATGGACTGAAATATGCTGTATTTGCTCCCAAGCAAATGTCGGCCTCTCTAGTTAGGTTTTGTTTTACATGGTGCACCCAAAAACTTTTTGTGCACCTAAGTTTTTAGGTTGGGTGCACCAGATTAGGTTGGGTGCACCTGATTTTGAAAAAAAAGACATTTTTGTTGCCCTCTGACAGTGTTTAACATGCCGAATATTGGCAAAGATGTCTGTTGCCATGCCAGAACGTGGATGGCAGATAAATATGAAGAGAGGAGACAATACAAGGCTCTGATTTGCTTTAACTTTGATGCAGTGATGTATTTCATTCCTTTTATACGTGATGTTCACTGAATCAAAACCATTTGACAATGATTGAAAACTTTTATTTCTCAAAGTTGTTTCAGTGACAAATGGATGTATTAATAGTGTTAATAGTTGGCAGTAAAGGTTGCAAAGATCATTATACATACATGTACATGTATATTATAATATGTTACAGAAAGTTTGAGGGCGGGTTCATATTTTTTGAGGGATGTTCTGATGTGCATGCAGATGACCTTGTTTGTATTCATTTTTGTTGTTATTTGTTTGTTTGTTTTAGGTTATATCCAAACGAGAACACCTCCTGGCCCACCCTCTGTCCACCAGCCTCCTTCGCCACAAGTGGACCAAATACGGCCGCTACATCTACTACTTCTCCCTCATCATCTACCTCGTGTTTCTCACCTTCCTCACGGGGTACCTGGTCACCGTCCGCCCGCCGTACGTGGACACGGCCGACAACGCGACCCAAGCGTCGTGGGAGCGATGGTCGACGAACAACTCCGCCGTGATCCTAGTGTTCTCCGTTATTGGGAAGTTCATCATACTGGGGCTGGCAGCCTTCCATATTGTTAAAGAGGTAACATAAGCTTCTGATTTATACATGTAGAGTTAGGGTTAGGGTTAGGGTAAGGGTTAGGGTTAGGTTAGAGTTAGGGTTAGGTTAGGGTTAGGCGTGTTTATGGTATATTTACTTTACATTAACAGATCTATTGAGAAAGTAACATTGTATCACATGTAATTGCATTCAAAAGAAAGGAAGTCTGTCACACATTAAATACCTTCCCCTGACCAGCAACCAACTACAGTTGGCTGAAGTTTGGGAGTAGTCTGACAAGATTTTAGCCATGCCTACGTATTTCATATGAATCAAATCGAATTTTAGTTAAATTTGAGTCAAATTGAACACAAATCTTTTAGCCACACCTACGTATTCCATATGAATCAAATCGAATTTGAAATTAAACAAAAATTTTTAACAAGATTTTTGCCACGTCTACCTTTCTATATGAGTCTAATCAAATTTGAGTTAAATTTGAGTAAAGTTCAATACACTGTACCAGCTGACCTTGCTCTCGACTTAGCAGTGTTTGGGAGTCCATGTATGGATATGTATGACACGGGCTTTAGGAAGTTATTGGTCTTATATATGAATTACAAATATGGTATGCATATATACATTAGCTGCTATATCAGCAAACATTATTACAATATTAACATGTGACTTTAATTTTGGAACATTGATACTTCCCAAACAAACAAACAAACAAAGCCTTATTGTTGTTTACAACAGGTTGTGCAGATGTTTGTACAGAGGATGGATTACCTGACAGTGGAGAACCTGCTGGAGTGGGCGCTGTACGTTCTGTCTGTTCTGTTTGTCATCGACCTGAAGGCGGAGGACTGGCTCAGCTCCACACAGCCCATGAAAGAGGTGAGGAGCCA